TGAGCAGGGGTTTTTATTGGGTACTCTTGAAAATGCCCGCACACTCTGGGCGAACTTTGAATTGATTGGATAACTCTGAATTCCTTGTATGGGGGGAAATTTCATTGGTTATAGTCATGGTCAGCCACCTAGAATGTCTCAATTTTTTCTACAGTAGGGTGTCCCTATCAGCCTCTGGATGCCCTTTTATGGTCAGGAATTTCGGTTGGTTTCTGTTAGACTCAGATAAGTGAGGCACGTCTGGGCTTGCCTAATCTTAGTCCCCAGTATGGGGCAAAGGAGACTTACAGTTTCTAGGAACAGAGACTTAAGACTGACAAAATGGAGGCTGCTAAAAAATGGAGCCAGTGTGACCTGGATCCTTCAGTTCCAAGGGGCAAAAGTCTATCATGATAGGCAGGCATGGTGGCAGAAGTGGCTGCAGGAGCGGAAGCTAAGCTCTCACATCTTCAAGCAGGCACAGGAATCAAGAGTGACTGGAGATCCGGCAAGGCTTAGGAACTCTCTAAACTCACCCCCAGTGACATGTTTCCTTCAGCAAGGCCACAACTTCTAAGTCCTCCCTAAACAGCACCAACTGGGAGCAAAATGTCCAAATACTTGGAGCCTATGGGGAACATTCTCATTCAAACCATCACAGGGAGAATGTGAAAAATTTAATCACTGGATATATTTTTATTCCAACAGTATGTTAGGAATTCAAAAGAATGTTACCAAACACCTACCATAAGCCAAGAACTGTGAAAAAGTGATTTTCATTTATTTCTTTTAATCTTAGCAGTACTAAGGATGAGGATTAATCCCTCAGTACTATACAGAAGGGATAGGCTCTGAGCACGTGCTCAGCTAGAATGTAAGCTTCTCTACCACCAAAGCTGATGTTTGCTAAGGCTGCCATTTAATTTCAAATGTTGCTCCAAACTGTTTTTCACTAACCTTCAGGCCACGTGGACCCAGTTTGGGCTGCTGTGAGAGCCTACGCTGTGAGAGCCTACACACAATAGTGCTTAAAACTATCAATCTATGAAGTGGGAGTGAGGAGTCCCTGGCAAGCAGCACAGGCAGCTTTTAGATGCTTGTCTCCATGATCCTTTGCACTGTGGGTGGAATGGTGAATGGCAAGAACTTGGGTTATATAACCTCAGGTGACAAAGCTAAGGCCCTGAAGAGGACTTCGTCGGAATTACATTTAGGTGGGCCTTAAACACCTGTTCCAGTAAAGACACACACAGAAGCTGTGATGATTAATCTTGATCTGGTCAACTTGATGGGACCTGGAATCACTGTAGAAACATACCTTAGAGGTATGTCTATCTATGAGGCACTTACAGAAAGGTTTAACTGAGGAAGACCTACCCTGAATATGGGTGGCACCATTCCAAAGTATGAGGTTCCAGACTTATAAAAAGGAAGGGAGCTGAGAACCAGCATTCATTGCTCTCTCCTTTCTGATTGTGGGTGGAATGTGACCTCATGTGCCGGCCACCATGCCTTCTCCACCAAGACCAGCCATCTCTCTTAAACCATGAGCCAAAATAAACTCAAGTTGCTTTTGTCAGGCATTTTGTCAAAGCAATGAGAAAATTCTGAAGGGAAGGTGTAGAAACAACTTATAATATGGATATACTCTGGAAAAATGACTTTTGACTAACCTTGGTGATCAAAAAGCAAATCTTAGCTTGTTTATAATGTAGACACAGCTCAGTGTGCTTCTGTTGTGATTGGGACATATCTTAATCCTTCTTGATCCTTCCTTGTCCTTGGACCCCAAAACAATGTACGAATGTGTGTGTGGATGTTTCAATAAAGTGCTACCAACAGCACAGATATTCTCTGGAAATGGTTGCCCCATTGTGTTGCAAGCAATAAATGTGATCTCAATGATAATGTCTGTTTGTGGTTGTGTGTCCCTAGGTCAAGAGGGATCAGAAGGGCCATTGCCCTCTGAGAAGTTTCATTTTCACTTCCCATTTCAGGCAGGAAATAGGTTCAGTAACAGAAAGCATTACCTAGCCCTTTTGTTAAGAGAACACAATTCCAAGATAATTCTTAAAGAACAGGTTCTGAGCAGTTTGGTCTGTTCTTGGCCTTAAAATGGATGCTAAGAGTTATGCTATCTGTATTACCATGTGGCATTACATAGTAAATGCCGCAAGAAGGAAGCACTGTGATAAGAGACTGCAGTGACAGCATCCCAGGCAAAGAACAGCTGGATCCGCCAGCAGCTGGGAGAGGCTACATATACACTTCCCCCTCAAGACTTTGGAGGGTGGCACAGCCAACACCTTGAATCTGGCCTTGTCTATCAAGGTTGCTGTAAATCCCAAGGCAAATTTTTGAAGATCAAATATAGAGGGTTCCCTTGCAGATTCTCACATAGGAAGGACACTGCTCTGTAGGCACTAACCTCCTTCCAGCCCTTCTTACATACATAATCTCAAGGTTACACACCTGGCCAAGACCAGGCGCTTCCCTAAAGATCCTCATGAGGACTGCACTGCCACAGCTCCACACCCCACCCGACACCTGGCACACCTGTGTGCAGTGGCCTCAAAAGGGAGGTAGTAATGGGCTGGAGGGATGACTCAGGTTAAGAGAACTCACTGCTCTTGCAGAGGACCCGCGTTAGGTTCCCAGCACCCACATGCTGCTAACAACCGTCCATCATTCCCATTTCCAGGGGATCTGACGCCCTCTTTTGGCCTTGTCTAGCACAGCATGCAGCATGTAATACACTTACATACAAGTATGCAAAACACTCATATTAAAATAGAAAAATTTAAAAGGGGGAGATGGAGCTTTCTATTCAATAGTAGTCCAACAATACCATTAAAATTTAAAACAGGCTTAGCCCATTCCCAGCAGGGAACTCAAGTTCAGTTCCCAACATAGACATCAAGGGGCTTACAGTCACCTTTAACTCCACCACCAGGGGAGCCAGTACCCTCTCTGGCCTCCTTGGGAACCTGCACTCATATATACACACACATATAAATACACATAATTAAAAATACATTTGATAAAACTTTGTAAAACTCACTAATGTGCCAGTATCAAGTCACAGTTCCCTAGCCCCCAACAGAGCTGGTGATACAGACAAACATCACATTATAAACTTACACATCAATGTCCACCCTAGGGTAGCCTTAGCTTTAGCAGCACCTCTGAACTGTGACTATCATTTTAAATGTCATGTAGAAAAAAAATTCTTCCCATAGGCAGTTACTCCAAGACAAGTGTGTTTAATCCACTTTTGCTAACCCAAATCAGGTCTATTTTTCTGTTATGGTTGGCACCTACAGTATTCTATGCTATCTACCTCTGATAACGTACGGTCAGTGCTACGTAGCAAAAGGAGCTTGGCAAAAAACACAACTCATACGAGTACCACTTCTGTGGGGGGGACCCTCTGGTTGTGTGTAATTTAATAAAACTAACCATGAAGGATAATGTTGTTTATTAAAAATATAGTCAGGGAGAAGGAAGTCAGTGCATTTATGCAATTTAACATACACATTTGTAGTTTGAGGTTCCATTATTCCAACAGTTCATATAAATCAGTTTCAGATAAAAGGGAAAAGAAAACACTTTACACAGGCGATCAGCAGTTGGTTATGTTTGGTAATGAGTAGGCTTGTAGTGAAAACCACCTCTTCCATTATTAAAAAAAGTCTCCTTTGTTTTCTGTCTATATAACTGCTATGTGTTATCTGGATATTTGAGGTATAACATGAATTTTCAGTGATGTCATTAGGTTATTCTTTACCTTGTAAGCCAACTTCTGCAGTATCAAATCTAACACTCACAGGACACCACTTAAAGTATGACCATTGAGACGTTCTCTTTACAGTGAGAAAAACAAAATGGGTTAGAACTAAAGTGCAAATGAAATGAATTAAATTGCTAATGGAGTATGAGGAATATGAGGAAGAACAAATGCCGAGAATCCTTCAGGAGGGACATGGAGAATTAATGTACTTTTATGTACTCCCCCCAGCAAGTCTCGCTTAACACCTTTTTCTTGCAATAGTAGTGACGTTCCTAATTCCTTAACTTATACTTACTGGTAGGAAATGAAGAAAAAAAAAAAAAAAAGGTGAGCACGAGAGATTATAAACTTAAAATCTGCCTGTGATGGGTTAGGGAGGTGGCTCAGTGGGTGTTTACAGAACAAGCACCAAAAAAAAAAAAAAAAAAAAAAAAAAAAAAAAGAAGGCGAGGGAAAAGTCAGGCATGGCTGCACAGGCCTGTAACCCCATGCTGAGGGGAGGCGAAGATGGGTAGATGGAGGGGACAGCAACTGCTTGTGACTGATGCAAAACTGGTGCTCCACCAACCCTTGGCTTTTCATGCACAAGATGCTCAAGGAATGCCACTCTGAACAGGGTGAACCCTCATCCCTCTGATACACCATTCCTTTCCATGCCATGTAACTAGTGTGAAGAAAGGTGCTTCTCACTCATTTCCATGTCAGTGGCAGTACGAATCATCTCTGCTGGGCCAGGTCAAGGTATCTAGAACGCACCTGGACCTAGTCCCAACTAGACCTAGAATGTAGTCTACTTTTCTGGGTTAAGAGAAAGGTTAACTCCCAAGCACAGTAGTCTAGACACTGCAAGCTTCATGTTAGCTGTGACTAGCACCTGGCTGACTCCATCTGGGAAAGAATTAAAGGCTAGAACCCATTACTACCAAACTGTCTATGTTGAAAGCATACTAATAGTGTTTCCTGGAAGGACTAACAAGGCATAACTGGAGTATGGCAAACCCAATATTTTCCCTATGGTGCAGAATTAACACCTCTGCTGAGAGGGTGCTTTTAAATGTTGTTTTCTTGACCCCCAACTAACCACAGGTCCCATGTATTGAACAAACATTAAGCTGACAACTGAAAGTCTTTAAACAAATGACTAGACTCCAAAATATTCCAAAGTCAGAACCATCATATACACAGTCTAGATGCATCAATCAATGAAGCCACATCTGCCAATGTCAAAGGGTAAAATGCAAATACAGATTATTTTAATATGAAACATCACTTTGTTTATACAGATGTCTACATTTTAACAGGTCTTTAAAAAGTGAGGAACAAAATGCTATATTCACACAAAAATCTTTGTGCTCAGTTTGTAAAACAACAGAACCAGAAACAAAGGAAACAAAGGAAACAAAGGGGCTCAGCTCTTCTGGCCTCAGGGTAGAGTTGCAAAGCTGACTGCCATTCATGAGCCTCAGGGCCTAGACTCCCTGCTCCCAACTCCTCCCCATTGGATGGGCTCACCATCCAAGTTTCCTGTCAGCAGGGAAAGTCTAAAATGACAGTTTTGTAAGTGAACTAAGCCATTATATGCTTCTTCTATATGATAGGATAGGGAAGAGGGCTCTATGTCAAGTAAGTCTTTCAAAGTGAAATTGATTTCTCAAAGTTCAAGTTAAAAATGGTGTACCTCATTCTCAAGGGAAATTCAAATTTAAGCAGTTTTGAACCTCAAAAGGAATGAATCTTCTCCCATTTTCTTTCCACATTTTATTTTCTTCAAGTAAAAACAACTTGTGTAACAGTGAGGTCTGTCATGGCTGGCATCATGAATGGCTGATGACTTACTTGCATTGCAATACAACAGCTTGTCTATGCAGGTGGACATGTGGACAGCACAGAACTAGGAACAAAAAGGTGAAGCAAACTTTTATTTTCAGGTAAAAACATTAACCTGATGGATTATTGCAGATCTGAGAAATCAGCACATAAAACAAATGGACAGCATTGCTTGCAGGTGCTTTTATCTGTGTGGAGACAAAGGCTGAACTGTTGTCCCAAGTAACTAGATGGAGCAGAATGAAATAAAGACTGAGAACTGAGAGTGGAAACTTCAAGGGAGATTAAAAAAAAAAAAAAAAAAAACAAACAAACAAAAATTCTAACAGGGAATGAAAGCTAATTTACTTAAAACTTTACATCAATTTAAAATACTCTGGCCATGGAATAAATACTGGCCAGCCCAAGCTGTGGACTGTTAAACCTACACACATAAAGAATGAGCTTTCCTTCCTCCATTCCAGAGGCTTTTGTTGCTGGAAATATCATGTAAACAAACCTAGTGTCACTTGGCAAAAAGCCAGGAGTGCTCTATAACTATATTAAAACTAAGCTATAAGAAAAGCCTACCTACCTAATTACAAAGGCTGAATTATATTGACAATATATTTCAATTCAATGAGTTTTAAATTATATCTTAATTTGAAAGAACATGAGACATCAAAGGCCCCTGGCTACTGAAAATGGCAAACTGTGTGTTGTACACCAAAAAACCCAAACAAACCCATGTGAACTGCACAAGCAACAGTGAGGTGGGGAAAGAAAATTAGAGGGAAATGGAAAGCACATAGAGCCCATCTACTAAACTATAGCTGTCAAGTACACGTGAGCTTCAATTTCTGTACTTATGTACAAGAGTTGTCTTTGGAGGAAACAAAACTGCAGACTTAGCTCGATGGATACACAAAGCCCAGAATTAAACTGCACAGAGACATTTATTGTTCCAGCCTGAAAAAACATCCCTTTGAAATTTCACACAGCAAAGCAAGTTAAAAACTTCACTCATCAAATAAATGATAATTTAAACAAGAACTTGCTAAAGAAACCTCATCACAAGAACATTTTAGGGCCTGATCACTTTAAGTCCATGGGGCCATTATGAATATCAACCAAGTGTCTCTTATAATCTGCAAGCCGTTTTCCTATGAGAAGGCGTAACATGTTTCCTCGACTCAGGTGATACATTAGAAAAGAAATCATGATTTTTTTTTTTCTTTTGCTGTATCAGGCAGACACAGACTTCTCGTGATCAGGAAAGATGGAACGACTGCTGCCCTTCTCTTGCTGCTATCAAGAGTTTGTCCCGCATTATTTCAATGCTTGAGTAGTCCGGCAACTTAAGATAGTTCACACAAGTCATTACAGAGGGTAAGAAGTCATCTGGGTTTTCTGTTGATTCAAATGTCTTCCGAACAATTGTCAGGGGTGGATTGAGACTTCGAAATCCTAAGAGAGAAAACAGAAAGATGGAGGAGCTTGGCTAACTTTTGTTTTCTCCTTTAATGCACCTATCATCATAAGTTGCCAACACTGCTGTGCTGAAGTGCTACCTCACACACAAGGCATTCCTGCTCCTGCTTGCTTGGAGACCACACATTCAGTACAGGAGCAGTATGTGAAACTTTATTCACTTATCATTAAAAAATATGCAACAAAGAATCAATAGTTCATCATGCCTAATTTTTAAAAGCTGAATACACTAATTTTTAAAAATCTATTCTTATTTAAGTCAATTTATAGTAAGTTTATAATATGCAAACATCCTAGAATTTTCTCTGAGCAGCATTCCTGTATATGTAAGGCAGTCTCTAAATTTTCTTGCAGTGATTTCTTAATGTACTGCTAAACAAATCGGAAGCCTAGAAACATTACAATATTGGAATAACCAAGAGGCACTGTACATTGTTGTCTATGTACATTGTTTGTCTATTTTCATACTGATGTTTCATACACAACAAGTAGAACAAATGCTAAGTATGAACACTGTACCCACCTCCAACAGGCAATCGTGGGCTACCAGTCACAAACTGGAGAAATAACCGTTGCTGCTCGTTATCAAAACTACTGAGAATCTCAAACAAAAACTTCACAGCCCGGCTATAACACAAAGAGATAATTATTTCGTGTTAAAATACAACTGTTAATATACCAAACCTCATTACATTATCAGCTTCAGATATGGCTAAATATGAAGTCTCATTACAACACACTTTGAAATAGGAAAGTTTTATTTTATTGTCAGTGCTGAAATCCAAACATAATGAGCTTAATACGCAATTTAAAAAGTAACACCCACAAGCCCCCCAACTCAATTAACTATCAGCAGCACAACTAGCACAGCCCACACTCACCTGTCGTGAGTATAACCATGATCAGGCCTGCAGCATTCCATCAATGTCTTTGCATCCCAAGTGTCTGCTTTACTGCCACACAGGAGCTGATCCAACTTTTGAGTTGAAATAAAAGAATTAGAAAAAAACATCTGCATGCCTGAGTGAGAATAACTGCTTATGTCCAAGTTAGGAGTATCATTTTCAGTGTCAAACCTTCTGCTGAGGCCTCTCTACAGAACATGCTCTGGTAAGTACATTCAGATGTACTACACTCTCTTCAGTTGTGTATTAATAAGTATTCTGCCCATCTGCAGGGACAGGGTTCTAGAGAAGCCTCTTGCGTGTGTGCATGTGTGTGCATGTCTGTCTGTGCATGCACATGCATATGGAGACCATAGGACAATTTTGCTGTCATTCCTTAGGTACTGTCCATTGTTTCTGAGACGGTCTCAAACTGGCTTAGGAGTCTCCAAGTAAGCTAGGTTTTGCTTGGTAAAACCTCCTCAGTAGGTTCACTGCAAGAGACTTAAGGTTATCTGTAGAGCTTCTGCAGCACAGACGAGGATGCATCACCCTCAAATCTCATTCTTTACTGAGCAGCACTGGGGTTCACTGAACAATGAGGTCTGAGTTGAGAGCACTGCTGCTAGACTTTACTCTCACAAGTGGATCTACTTTCCTCTCTTGGAGGACATACCAACTTAACAACAGTATTTCTTGTTCAGAAAGCTTTCTTAGCCTTCCCAAAATTCTACACCTTGCTCCTAAACTCCTGTGGGTTTGGAAACGAGGTAAAACATATCACTAGGATAATCAACACACATAAGCAAAACTGACCATTTCTTTTAGATACAAGCTACTCACTTCTTCTGGGTAGAAGTACTGCAGGTGACTAAGGGGGAAAACTGATTCAAATCCATCTCTGAAAGAATCAAATTGCCTGGAAACACCTTCATTTAGAGCCCAGAATATTACCAGCTGCAAAAAGAAAAGTACTTTTAAAACTCTAACAAGATTTCCCACCTTTTTAAGTATTTAATGTGGCAAAGTGAATAAACTACTCTTTTGGATCAATTTAAGAAAAAAAAATCCAAAAACTAAAATAAATGAAACATTATTTTAAAAATTCATTCATGTAATTTTTATATATAGACTCCTACCAGATTTTAGAAGCAAAAGAATTTTCATAGGCTACAATGTTACCAAGAATTAAAAATTTCAAGATTCATAATTAGTAACTTAAGATTTTTAATGGGGGATGTTCAGTTCTAAATCCTATCCAGTTTTGAGATCCTATCCCCTTTCTGGGGTTTGTGCCTTCTCCTAGAAGAGGTAAAGCCTGGACATGCAGCAGGAACACAAGATGTGAAGGGAAAGAAAAAGCAGCTCTTAACTGGTTCAATTAAAAAAAAAAAAAATTATGTGTATGAATGCATTGCCTGCATATATGTAAGCTATACCCATGTCGTGCAATGCCCACGGAGGTCAGAGGGCGGTGTTGGGATTCCCCTGAAACTGGAGCTAGGGACAGCTGTTAGCCACCATGTGGGTGCTGGGAATCAAACCCCGGTACTCTGCAAGCAACAGCCAGTGCTCATAAACCATCTCTCCGTTCCCTTAATTGGTCCGATTTTATCTAGTCAATTGTGGCCCCAGATATAATTCACTGGATATACAAACAGAATATTCACATAAAATGAAACCATTTTTTATAAAATACATGATTATAAATTACTACCAGAAAAGCAATAAATGTGGATTTTAACACATTTTAGATTGTTGGAAAAGTAGCTTTCCCAAAGGTCAGAGTAAGAAACAGAGTAAGGGAAGACAGTCCAATTAATTATTAAAAGGAATTTCTTATAAGTTATAGAACTGTCAGGTAGCTGAGGATCCTGAATGCTAATCTCTACCCTCCCTCCCGCCCTCCCTCCCACCTGCCCACACCAGGTTAGCCTCAATCTCACAGAAATCTGCCTGCTTCTGCCTCCTGAGTGCTGGGACTAAAGGCATGCACCACCATGCCCCAGCCAAACAAAATTTTAAGTACTGATAACAGAAAAATTATAGTTTGTAATTTAAAATTTTTGTAGTCAATAGAAAATTATTCCTGCTTCATTTAGCAAATATGTCAAGGGTCCTAAATGAATAATTTGATGGGCTCACCAAGCACATGTATGTGTATGTCTACAAGCCATATGGCTTGAAACAAAGGCAGAAAATGTAGTTCATTGAGAATATATTTTTCTCTGGTGGCTCCTTTTCACTGATTTTTAAAAGCAGGAAAACGCAGTGTTAATACATTGCATTCAAGTTTGAATTTAAGGTTATAAAGGAACACACACACACCCTGGTAAGCTTTTTCTATGGACATATTTTCTGATTTTCTGCATGAAGTAATGCAAAAGTGCATGCAGTTGCTCAGCCTGAGGGCTCCCCTAGTCTAAGGAAGGATTATAATCACACACTACTATTGTATCATAAGTTTTTGGTGTGTGGATTAACACCTAAGGAAATTTACTGAGACTTTCCTTTGAAGCAACAAAGTATGAAATTTTAGGCTGCTTTTCCAAGTAACACTGTGAGGTGAGCAGCAGACCAACCTCTTAATTTTGAGGAACATCCTAAAAGTAGAAAAGGAATGTATCTGACACAAGAAGTAAAAGGTTTCTAGTGTCAAATATATTTATAAGACTGGAAAGGTTTGTTTCAATAACCCACGAAGCCCTAAAGTCCATGTTTCTACTACAGGTCTCATTCCTATGTTTAGACTTAGCACGTACTTAAAACTGTGGAGAAAGGCAACTCCTTAAGTGTTTCTTTTTTTTAAAGAAGGAAATCAATAAAAAGAAAATATCTGTATGTTCTCTACAAAGCAAACAGAAGCTTAAAAAGGCTGAAAAGGCCTCCCTGAGTGGTCCCAGGAATGTGGAAGGTCTCCTGCAGTATGAAGAGGCAGCTAAGAGATCCTGCTCTCACAAACTATGATTGCATTCCTCTCCCCCAACAGGATCACAAGAGGCAAAATCCTACATGCCTACAGCCCATGTTCCCAGAAGACACACAATACATACTCTTAGATACTCCTCTAAGTTGTGGATAGTGACTGGTATATCCTTTCCTCCTTTCTTCAGTTCGATGTTGGGAAACCCTGGCAGCGTGAAATCCAATCCTAGATCTTCAACTGAACAGCCATTCATAGTAAGGGTTTCTAATGCATACTGTAGGCTCTCTTTGGTCTTTAATTCAGCGACAGAGAGGAAAAAAAAAGGGGGGGGGGGAATGGCAAAAAGTTAAGCACAAGAATTTACAGACAATTATCTTGTGTTGTTTTTTTTTTTTAAAAAAAAGATTAATCCAGGTACAACTGATGGTTTCTTTTGGCTCTGTATTTGGCCTCAGTCTACATAGTCACTAAGTCTCTAGGATCACAAAGGAAATCTTAAACACTTCAGGATCCAACTATTTACACAGAAGAAAACAAGACGGCTCAGGTGTCTTCCATGCTGCGAAGCTACTGCTGGCTTTGAGTGCACTCAAATCAAATTTCTACAGGAAATCCTTGACAGTTTTTGTTAAGCTTTTAGACTAGAGCTGTGGACTCTAGTACCAAACTTCGTAATTCTAAGCCAATCATTTATTTTTTTAATTCTATGAGTATGAATGTTTTGCCTATATGGATATAAGTGCACCAGGTGCATGCAACACCCAGAGGCCAAAAGAGGGCTTCCTGGATGGCTGTTAGCCTCCACATCGGTACTAGAAACTGAACACAGGCCCTCTGGAAAAGCAGTAAGTGCTTTTAAGCACTGAGTCATATCTCTAGACCCTTTAGGCCAATTTTGATGAACCTAATATAAATGTATACCAAATACTTAGTAAAACATTTCAGAAATTGCAAATATAGTATCTGGTAATGAACCACCCCACCCCATAAAGCTCAAGTCTAAAGAACATCCTAGAGATGTACACTTGGGGTACAGACAGATCCAAGAAAGGTCCTATCAAACACCAATTATGAGTGTTAAGTACACTCACCTTTTTAAATGCCTGCGGCTTAAAAGGCCTGCATAAACTATTGCGCTTTTGTTTTTTGTTTACATTCAAGGATCGATGACCTACATACAGAAATGTAAATTCTATCGAAAATGAAGGCATCTACTTAATAGTGACCCACTGGAAGCTGTCAAACTGTCTTTCATGAAAGCAAAAGGAGAATATGAGGAACAAGTGGGGAGGGTATGGGGAGAAGGTAATAGCAGAGGGACATAGGAATACCACAAGTTTGCTCCCGTGAGTAATCTAGATTTTATATGCATGGATACACACGAAAGCAAAAAGGAAGACTATCTGGGAGAAGGAAATGGGGGTACAGGGCAAATGTAAATAAAGTACAATGATACGTATGAAAATGCCATAATGAAAACAGTTGTTTTGTATATTAACCGAAAAAAAGAAAAAAAAACCAAACAAACAAACAAAAAAAACCTGTCCTTGTACCTCCTACATACAAGATCAGGGGGATCACTACTATGCTGCTTCTTGGATGGTAATCTCAATATGCAACACATACCCAGGACATGTTTAAAAGGATCTCTGGATCTTACATATTCGATCAAAGACAATTTTTCCATTTATCTTTTGAGAATTTAGGTCAGTGCTAGGATGCTTGTCCAGCATGCATGAAGTCATGGGTGTGATCCCTAGTGCTGCAAACAACCAACCAGGTCAAATATGAGCCAAGAAAACTTGCACCATCTGTATATTTATAAAATACAGAGGTAGCAGACTGAGAATGTAGATCAGTTGGTACAGTACTTGTTCAGCATGCATGAAGCTCTAGATTTAGTCACCAGCACTGCATAAATCTGGCATGCTGGCACACACATTTAATTCTAGCACTTAGGAGCTGGTAGCAGGAGGATCAGAAGTTCAAGGTCATCCTTGGCTACATGTTAAGTGTGAAGGACACATATGAGACTTTGCTACCACCCCTGCGACACATCCCTAAAAAGATGCAAAGCCCAAGGCCGGACATGGTGGCGCATACCTTTAATCCCAGCACTTGGGAGGCAGAGGCAGGTGGATCTCTGTGAGTTCCAGGACATAGTGAGTTCCAGGACAGCTGGGGCTACAGGGAGACCCTGTCTCAAAAAGACAAAAAAAAAAAAAAAAAAGAGGAAAAGCCCAAACAGTATTATTTCCAAATCATTTAAGAGTATTTCTGAAGTATGGATTCTGGTTATATGCATTTTATATTTTTTAAATGACAAGTTTAGGAATAATAAATAACAGAAGAGTAAGCATCAAAATGAAATTAGTGTGAAGAAAGCTACAACAGTATACGAAATGTGAGATTAAAAAAAAAACTAACAAAGATTGTGTGTTGTGCAGAAATGTGTACTCCAGAGTACACAACCTGGGTCTGAATTCAATGTTCCCATGACATATATAAACAGGCTGCTCAACCTGTGCCTTTAATTTCTCACCTGTAAAACGGTGATAGCAACAGCACATAAATCCTACAAGACTGTTGTGGAGACTAACCGTATGTGAGGAAACAGAAATGTGCTGTGGGTTTAAGCCCCCTCACCCCAATATTATTTATCTAACAAATCATCCTAAACATGACAGCAGCTGAAAATGATAACTATAACCCTGGGGGACAGAAGTAGGGTAGAAGCAGGTAGATCCCCAGAGCTCGCTGGACAGCTCCTGTGTAGTCAGTGAGCTTCAGGTTTGGTGAGAGATGTATCTTAAAAAATAAGATGGAAAATGATAGAAGGCATACAATGGTAACTACATCTGGCGCACACGCACCCCTCCCCCAAATCTCTTCCAGACCTAGACCCACACCCTGGACCATCTCTTCCAGATAGAGAGACAGACCCCCACCCCCCGCCCCAACACATACCATCTCTTCCAGGCCTACCTGCGATTTATCCTGCTCCAGTCTTTTCTTCTGTCTTACAATGTCTTCTAGGTGATATACTGATCTGGCTACAACAGGATCGATGTCAAATAAATCGTGAGATGTCAGTGAAGTTTCCTGCCGCAGCATCCACTTATAAAAAGGCAAGCCAAGGGGAAGGTCCACCTGAAAAGAAACATGCAATATACTTTGTCACACTGAACTTCTAGCATTAAATTTAACAGGCACTTTAAAAGAAGTAATTTGAAAAGGTCAAATAATCCCCTAGAAAGAAAACTAGGAACTGTTTCTCCCATTGTATGAAACCGAGAGCTACAACTTGGGTCTCAAATCACGGTGGCATTTTAGAATACCTAAAAAAAAAAAAAATCCTAAACACTAACACACCAAAAAATAAAAATAAATCAATGGTGGACATATCGTCTCCATAAAGCTTTTTCCATGAGGGCCTCTGAAATACTACCAGGTGTTCTTAGAATAATTATGTTCTACTTTGAACCAAGTAAAGTCAATTCGTATCCAGTCTGTTCTGTATTATTGAACATTCTGAAATCAGAAGGTAAAATGAAGAACTTATTTAAAACAGAATGGAACTTTTAAAAAACTGATGAACCATATAAATCTCAGACAAAATGAGAATGTAAACGTGTGAATTTGCCATCAGATGAAAATGTCTTATACATACTGATAAAGTATCTTAGAAAATGTGAGAAGAGGAAATGAAGAAAAGTCCAGAAATATTCAAAGCTCTGTGAACACTGCTCACTTGTTTATTTTCCCAAAAGCACATTAAAGGAACTCAAATGAGCATTAGCTGCAAGCTTGCAGCTTTCTTACAGAATTAAAAAATATATATACATATATAAAATATAAACATATAAATATAATATATAATAAATATATTATACATATATATAATGTTGAATCCTGTCAAAAATAGTATTAATGCCATCCTTGATATTACAATTGCCTGACTCTCTGGAACCCTAATTATGGTTACTGAAAGTGGTATAGAACTAGCAGCTGGGCATCTCCTGGTAACTGTGAGGCAAGTTCAGTATCTTGAGCAGTAGGACAGACTCACTCTTGTGCTACAGAATCGCAACTGGCATTTTAAACAAAATCCTCAAATAGTTAATATGCACCTTGAAAACTGAGAAGCAGTGCTCTAAAATATTGCAATCACTGCAGGGGACTGAGGTAACTTCACAGAACAGTGTACAAAATTGTAGAAAAGCAAACAATCCTAAACTTACCAATCTGAAATCCATGATAGCCTTAGCCATTAATTTTCCTAAGAAGCGAAACTTCATCTTAACCTTTGCGATATGAGCTGGCTTAGCTGTCCTACCAAAGGGAAGCGCAAACAGGCCCTGGAGGTTTTGAATATACTTGGTCCCTTCTTGGCTTCCTGTAAAACGAGCAATTCACCAAACTTCAGATGACATTTTCAAAAACAAAAACAAACCAAAACCTGGTAACTAAGAACATTCAAGAACTTCAGTATTCACAAAATCAGAGAGATGCCCTCTAGAAGCATCCTTCCTATTTGAGATATGAGAAAATAGGCACTAAAAGAAACAAAGAGCAGAAAATATAGTCCTCCAATAGACACTAACCACAATGTAAGAGTTACCTGATCTGAATTAACACACTGACTTACAGACATAAATTACCTTTTGGATTGCTAAGTGTTACTTCTTCACCTCTCCAGAGACCCAAGTCAGCTCTCTGTAGTTCCTGAGATACAAGTGCATAAAACTCCAGTGTTGGCCCAAGACCTGTACCAACCTATGAGAAAATAAATTAGAATTATTTCAAATTTTAGAAATTGTGGTACTTTTTTTTACCCGACAACATGGAGACTAACCCCAAGTGTTTATGAGGAAGTGTAAGAGATGATTTTCTATAATGTCCTGACTAGATGGACCTTCCAGTCTTCAGCATATGGAAAAGGAACTACAAATTATTCTCTATTCCTTCTGGCCCCAGGATTTCAATTAAATGACTCAAGCTCATATATTGATAAAAGCATTGCTGTGGTTATATATTTTTCCTTCAGGGACCAATACAGCACCACCTATGTTGTACCTTTTCCTCTTTAAGGGAACTGTTATTCTAAGCCTTCTCAGGAGAAGCTTCCTGATCTGCCCTTAACAGTCTGCTCTTAGGACTTGTATTTCAGCTACTTCAGTACTTATTACATTATTTTACAACTATTTCACCATATGTTTATATGCTTTAGATGGAGACAACTGTTTTAGCTGCATTATCATCCCCTGCAGTGCTGTGCATACATTTAACAGAGATTTACAGATCAAAATTAAAGAGGTCTGCATTCGTGCCAGCAGTCAGAAGACTAATTTGGCGTCACACACAGCAGTGCTTAAGTCCAATGGTACACTGGAACCTCAAGAGATTAACCAACAGGATTTCTCTCTCCCTCCTCTCCCTCTCTCTCTGAGAAGGCCACTGAATCCTGAAGATTCTGGTCTGTTAGGTCTACTTCAGAGCCTAGGTATTGCTACTTTTAAACAAATTCCAAAGGTGAGTAGCTTACTACAAAACTGCTACTACTTGATACCTACTGTATCAATACAGTAGGCCAGTGTTCACAGACTCAACATTCTTCCATGTTCTAGCAAGATCCTACCAGCTTAGTCCATAAACAAAGACAGGCAACCAGTCAATAACAAGTTTATATTACAATTAAGAAAATTTAAATTTAGCCATAATCTGCCATGGTGACAATGTGCTTATATACTACTTGCAAATAAAAGGCACCAACTTGAAACAATCTACCAAATATTTAACTCTGACTTTCAAAGCAGTGAACTGCTTGGACCCGGCAAAAGCTTTTCAATTAGCCCCCAACTCTTTGTTAGAATCCCATCTAAGTAAAATGGTATAGCCACTATTTACCTCACAATGAGTGCAGTAACAGAAATCTTGCAGACACCCTTAGCTGCTCTTCTCCTTACTACTCCCCATAATCCAAACTGTCAGTATGCACTAAAAGCTCTACCTTCAAAACACATTCTAAACTAATGAATTCTCCCTCCCTTTATCTAGCCACCCTCTTATTTGATTTTGAGGCTACTGAATAGCATGCACAACATTCTGCACATTATTCTCACAGTGGCAAAAGCGATTCTCAGAAAAGCTTTCCCATTCACTCAAAGGAATTTTTACCACAGCCTGGCATCCTGCATGATCCTTCCTTCCCCATTACCTCTGACCAACTACTGCTGCTCTATCCTCATTCACTAGCTCCAGTCACCTTTATCCTCCACTGGTTCAGGTACAGTGCATCTTGGTTCTTCTGCTAGAGCTATTCTCCCTACCTGCAATGACTTGCTCCCAATTCAAATATTACCTTACATCACCCTACCACACGCCCCCATCACGTGGTGCCATGTTCTTTAATGTTTCTTGACAAAACAATTTAACACTTGTGTGAGTGTGTGTGTGTGTGTGTGTGTGTGTGTGTGGAGCAGAGGTATTCCCAAACACCTGTGTCAGCTTTCCCAAATTGAAAGGAAAGTTCCATAATGGTAGGGCCTTATATATTTTGTTCTCCGTTCATTTCAAGCCACTGGAGAGAGAAGAGGTAAGAAAAGGCATGCCATAATACTTATTAGCCACAAGATGGTGCTTTAAAGACAAAATTAAAATAAATAAATACAAGTTACAGATAAAATCAATCTGTTTCCAGTATTCAAATAGTTATTTCTAAAAGTAAAACAAATTTTACTTAATACATCTAACAGGTATTATTGAAAGCATCCCTGTACATCAAACTAGCCTCTCCAGGGAGTATCCTCCCTCCAAGCCAGATAGTCTACTAAAAGTGTAGCTATTTTGTTTGGTCTTGCTTTATTCCTGTGGGTTTTGTTTTTTTTTTTTTTTTTTTTTTTTTTGAGACAGGGTCTCCCTGTAGCCTCAGCTGACCTGGAACTAGCTAGGTAGACCAGGCTGGCCTTGAACTCACAGAGCTCTGCCTGCCTCTGCCTCCCAAGTGCTGGGATTAAAGACATGTGCCACCACACCCAGCTTATTCCTGTTCTTAAAGGGAAGAAAAGCATAATATTCTAGAACTACCACCAACAAAATCAACAACATGGCTTAAAATGTAGTCTTTTGGGGCTGGAGAGATGGCTCAGCGATTAAGAGCACTGGATGCTCTTGCAGACAGGACCCAGGTTCAGATGCCAGCACCTACAAGGCAGCTCACAATCATCAGTACCTCCAAGTTCTAGGGGATCCAACACTTTCTTCTGACCTCTGAGGGCATTGCACAACATGGGTGCACTAACATGCAGGCAATACACTCATATACATTAAAAAAAAAAAAAACTTTAAAAAAAAAATGGAGTCTTTTCCCCCCTCAAAGTTAATACATACTAGCATGTTTTATGCATAAGGCAATATTCTAGACGTTTTTTATTTTAATTTGCTAACTAATCTAACCACAAAACGATGGAGTGGACTTAAAAAAATTTATTATTTTTATTTTATGTGTATGCTTGTAATGCTTGCAAGTATGTAAATGTACTCATGTTGCGCAGTGCTCATGGAGGACAAACAGGGTGTACCCTAAACTGGAGTTATGAATGGTTGTTAGCCACCATATGGGTGCTAGAGGATTTGAACCCGGGTCTTCTCCAACAGCCAGAGCTCTTAACCACTGAGCCATCTCTCTAGTCCCAACATTAAAAAAAAAAAGACAGGGTTTCAGAATGTAGCCCTGGCTGGCCTAGCACTCCCTATCTAGACCAGGCTAGTCTTGAACTGAGATTAAAGTTGTGTACTACCACACTCAGCAGAGATGGACAAACTTAAAATGGCCACAGTTGCGATAACAATAATGACAGATTTATTGAATTTTCTCAACTTAATATAGCCAATAAGCAGTGAAATCAGGCTCCGGAGTCCACACTAATGTTTTATCATCCCCAAGGGGACTAAGCCATTGGTGGTTTGACCAACTTTCAAAGCTCAGAGACTGGTTTAAAGAAAGATTCACCCAATTTTTAGGGGGGGTGGAGGTGAGTTCTTTTTTGAAGCAGGGTCTCCTTGTAGCCACAACTGGCCTGGAACTTGCTATGGAGACCAGGCTGGCCTTGATCTCAGATATCCATCTGCCTCTGTCTCCCAAGTGCTGGGATTAAAGGCATGCACCATCAGGCCTGGGGGATGCACCTAATTTTGATCTGACATCTTAGATGAAATTATTCTATAGACCTTGTTAGAAATTCTTCTTAAACACTTGGCTGAATTATGGTTGAATTTCATTCACAACCTGAAGTCTTTTGTTTGGACATAACCTCAATGAAGCTGGATCCTGGAATCTTTTTCAGAGTCAAAAGGGGAGACCTATAACCATCTGTAATTGGATCTGACACCCTCTTCTCTCAGAGGGCACCCAAACTAATGTGGAACAGAGACACACACACAAACATGAATAAAAATTAAAATTTTAAATGTACATTTTTATACTGTGCAGTTTATTATCTCAGTAAATTAGATTTTTGAAAAGGCAGTTCAATCATTTCTGAAACTGTTTAAAATATCTTTTCACTTCATGATACATGTGGATGCACTATTATGCCAGGAAAAATCCTATCTTATTTTTATAGTTCTATCACTGAAAAATGGAAAACTTCAAACATGTATCATCCAAAAGAAGATCAAATCTGTTTCTTTAGTAAATGTCCCAACTGCCTTGAAGAAGTTCATAGTGCCAATAAACTCAATATGTTATCAGAAGCATTAAGTCAAACTTAACACCATCACTGGACTCAGGAGCTCACCTCATTTTCATACTGGATTTCTAACATGGCCCGGGAGCTGCCCAGGTCCTGCATCACAGACTCCGCCTGTTTCAGCAGCTCCTCTCTGTTCACAGTGCGCTACAAAGAAAACACAGATGTGAGGAGACAATGCCACACTTACAATTTGCTTAAATCAACTGCTGTTGTTTTCTGCGGTGCAAGACAAATAATTTAATTATTTAAAAAAAAAATTACATATGCTGGGTGTGGTGGCACATGCCTTTAATCCCAGCACTTGGGAGGCAGAGGCAGGTCGATCTCTGAGTTTGAGGCCAGCCTGGTCTACATCGTGAGTTCCAGGCCAGATGGGGCTACAGGGAACCCGTCTCAAAAAAGAAAAAAAATCTTTAAGCATATACCTCAAAAAACTCAAAAAATAGCCATACTGCTTCAGACATCAACATGTTTTCTGCATACCTGAAAGAAAGCTAGATGCAAATATGACTACTAATTTATCTTGACAAGTTTAGAAAAACCCACTTCAGGAAGAAAAAAAAATCCGTTACTTTGCCAAACACTGACGCAATTAAGGCCTGCGAGGCACATTTATGCTTTAACAATGGCGATGTAGGTAAGGAGATGACAGGGGAAGACAGGGGAGCTGGATACCCTCTAGCTCTGAGATGCCAAGATGCTCTAAGTGCTGACACAGATGTCTCCTAGCAAGATCATGAAGATGATAAAGGTCCTGCCATCATTTTGAAATCATGGCAACACTGCTGTTGACAGAATCCTCATGAGGTAACAAGTAACGTGATTTGCTGGTGAGTACAGTTACCTGGTGTGCTTCTCCTTACAAGCCCTCAACAACCTTCTGTTATTCCTGATGGCTCTTACCAGACTTATGAGATAATGTTTTGAAGAGATATTAAATCCTCAGCAAGAGAAGAGGCATAGCAAAGTCATGAGCATGAGTCATGACAGACCAGGTCAGAAGTACAGGATTGGTCTAAGATGGGAATGGCTGGGGCACTGTGGTTCACAATTGCTGTGAAGTTAAGATTAGAAGCATAGGAGATGAAGAAGCACAGGAATTGACAGGGGCAGAGACTCAAAATACTTTAGGAATTCCATTTCATGTTTTCAAATAGGTTGATAAGGGAGTACATCTAACAAGTCAATTTTTAACATGGACAAAAGAGGGCCTCAGAGAAAACAAGGTCTTAGTTAAGAACGAAGGTAACTAGAAGTCAGAAAGTCAACTTTAATCCCAGTATTCTGGCAGAAAACAAGGGTGGATCTCCGTGAGTTTGAAGTCTGGTCTACAAACTGAGTTCCAAGTTAGCCATGCTACATATTAAGAGCCTGTCTTTAAAAAAAAAAAAAAAAAAAAAAAGAGGTGGGGTTTAGAAAATATTTCTGAGAAATAGAAGTTACAGAAAAATCACAACCAACCAAGTTTCAAGAGACTGGCAGGAAACACAGTTAACACAAAAATGATAAAAAGATAAATTGATGGGGGTTGAGACACAGTTAAGAAATTAAGAACTCTTGCTGTTCTTCTGGAAGACCCAAATTTAGTTCCCAGCATTGACAGACTGCTGACTTCAACCACCTGTTGTTAACTCTAGCTCAAGGGATTCTGAAGCCCTCTTCTGGCCTCTGAGGAGGCACCTACACATACCCCCACACAAACACATATACATACATATCATTTTTTAAAAAAATCTATTGGGGCTAGAGAGAAGGCTCAGTGGTTAAGAGCACTGGCTGCTCTTGCAGAGGACCCAGGTGTAGATCCCAACACCCACATGGCAGTGAACAACTGTCAGTAACTCCAGGTCCAAGAGCTCCAACACCTTCTTCTGCCCTCTACAGGCATGTGGTGCACATATATACATACATGGCAAAGCACTTATACACATAAAATAAAATGTATTAAAAGAAGATTAAAGTAATGACTGTGGTTGAGTCTCAAGAGCCTACACAGGACGTAATTTTTAGTTCTCCCTGTAATTTCAAAAATTCCACATAAAGAATTTGGGAGATACTTACTTTTTTTCTATCCAATCTAGGTGCAACTCTACTATCTTGTGAATCAGATTGGTTAATTTCTGGGTTGGTATCAAGCAATCTTTGCATTGCCCGGTCCCGATCAAATGCAGTTACATAAAAAAGCATTTGTCGGGTATCAAAAGGAAAGAAGAATGGGCTGTAAAGATGATAAAACACAAATAAAAATCAGAAGCCATTATTACAAAAAATCAAGTGTATTAGAAACAACTTCTAATACAACACAGAATAGTAAATAAATAACAACAAAGTAGTCCAAGAAAATTAGTTAACAATTTTCATAATTTTACAGAAATTTCTTTAAAAATAGTTTACATGAGGTTTCACTACACTGCCTAGGTTGGCTTTAGATGCCTGGAGTGAAGCAGTTCTTCAAAACCTCTCAAATAGAGGGACTGTAAGTATACACCATGGTACCTGGCTCTTGTTGAAATTTCTAAGTGTTAAGTAACAGTATACTAGGTACACACAATTTATCCTTTACAATCCTGTATAATTTTAAATGTTCATTCTATCTAGTCATCTTGAACCTATTCCAAGACTTTTAGAAATTCGAAACCCAAATATAGGCAATGGCTTTTCTACTTTACAATATTCATCACAGTTTGCATTTGATAAATCACTGGTTTTCAAAGAATGAATCTTGTAGTCAAGAGTACTTTGTACAATAACTTTAATGGTGTTTTGTTTTAAAGAAAAGGTCTCTGAGGTCAACCTGAATGTTCTATGCGTTTTGTCTAACAAGGCAGCCATATGAGAGGATATGGTGAAACCAAGTTAAAGACTCAATTTCTAACTTTGCTTCCTTGTAATTAACAAATATACACACAGTATCTGGTTAAAAAGACTCAGAAAACCAAACAACCATACCTTTGGAATCTAACATTTATGATGGCAAAAGATTTAACTACTCCCAGTCAAATATCCTTCAGTAGGTTCCCATTTCATACAGAGGAAATAGAAGGAAAACTAGTCTATATGCTTAACAAGTTCTCATCAAATATGACAAAGTTGTAAGATCTGAACAAGTCAACTACAGATGTTTCTAGCACAAAACATATAAAGACCAACACCAAAACATTTAGAAGCCCAAAGTGATTATCTTACCAGGTTTTTCCTAGCTCAGTAAGCCATGTTGGGATGTTTCCTGTCATGATTACTAAAGGATCTTGAAGCTGCCTATTTGCTTTTGCTGTCAACTTACTATTAATAAATTCACTAGTTGGAATAATCTCCTTGCACATTGCATTCTGTGAAATGTGAAAAAAGAAAAAAAGAGAGAAAGAGAGAAAAAAAAAAAAACTCATAATCTCTTCCTTTATTCCCAAATAACTGAGTGTGCAAATTTCCCCTGCTGGCTTTCAACATACAATATACAGTTCCTCAATGGTCTGTCCCCAACCCAAACAATTCTAATAAATCGCTAATACTTCCTACACCCAATCTCCATGAAACTAATAAAAAGAACAACCCCTTTACTCTTCCCTACACTATATAAATATCAAAGGAGGCATGCAACTTTTTACATGATATACGTCTTTATACGAAGAAACAAATGTCTCGTTAATGCATCTAAAAAAACATTTCAAGAATGTTAAGTGCTACATACACATGCATTCACTTTACTTCCCTAAACTAGGATCCCTACATTTAGGTGAACCACAATTTCTATTTCTGATGCAATAGAAGATTCATCATCTAATGAACAGAAACTAAAAGATAACACAAGATCTCATAAAGAGAACATCACTCACATCATACAAATAATACCAGTAACGACTGACGGCGTGTAAAACTCTTAAAAGGAGGATCACGTCTAAGGATGGATCTTCAAAGGTGATATTTTCAGGTGGTGTGGAAATGAGGTAAACTTCTAATGGATTTGACACTGATGGGCATACTCCATCTACAGGGCAAATAATCCAAGTTTCAGTTCTGATTAACAATGGCTGATCTGACAGAGCCAGAAGTTATCTCATCATCCCTAAATAACCTACAGCTGTTAGATTTAATTCTTGGTATCTCCCTGTGTGGCAGACACACATTTCATTCCTTTTTTATATCATACAAATAAAAATCCATTCCAGACTTATAAAATTTTCCTATTAATAACCAAGCAAACATAAAGGAAGAAGAAAAAAAAAAACCAACTCCTCTGCATCTCATCTCTACTGTATCATAAACAGCTAGAGCCAGGCATTGTGATGCGCACCTTTTAATCTCAGCACTTAGGAGAGTTCAAGGGTAATCTGTTCTACATAGGAAGTTCCAGGCCAGCCAGGACTACATAAATGAGAGCCTGTCCTTCCTTCATAAGAAAAAAGAAAAAAGAAAAAAAAAAAAAAAGTCACTTTTTAAAAGGGGACATTTTTAAACACTGAAAACAGAAACAATCTTAAAATTAAGTCTTTTTTAAAAAAATTATTTTTATTTTAAGTGTATTGGCTGCATGTATGTAAGTGCTATGCAATGCCTGTGCAAGGCCCATGGATTTCATTAAGAGGGAATTGGATTCCCCTGGACCTGGACTTGCTAGGAATCGAACCTGGGGGTTCTTCTGCAAGAGTAGTCAGTGTTCTTAACCACTGAATCATCTCTCCAGACCCCAAATTAAGAAACTCTGAAACAGGCTGTGTATGGTGGCACATGCCTTTAATCCCAGCACTAGGGTGGTAGAGGCAGGTGATCTCTGTGAGATCAAGGCCAGCCTGGTCTACATAGGGAGTTCCAGGACAGCTGGGGTTATAGGGAAACTGTCTCAAAAAGGAAAACAAAACAAAACAAAAAAGGCTAGTCATTGCTATTAGCAATCTCTTCTTCAGGTACTGTGTTCTACTAATGGAATGTGCTTTGCCCTTCATGATAACATGAATTCTTAAATGATTAGAAATAAACTCCTAAGTTACTTTTTAAAAGTATTTATTATTTCTATTATTTTATGTGTATGAGTGTATTGCCTGCATGTACGTGAGTGCACCCATGTCGTGTCATGCAATGCCGTGGAGGTCAGAAGAGGGCTTTGGATTCCCCTGGAACTGGAGTTAAGAACAGTTTGGAGCCACCATGTGGGTGCTGGGAATTGAACCCAGGTCCTCTGAAAGAACAGTCAGTGAGCTTAACCACTGAGCAATCTCTCCAGCTCCGTCAAACTCCTAAGTTACTTTTTCAAAGTTTACTTTTGTAAGACATTAAAGTCAAAGATTTAACTAAAAGCAATCAAACTATGGCAATTTCATTTATTTCTAAGTTATGTTCAAAGCCTTTTCTAGCTCTGAATCACAACTTTAAGAAACACGAAATAGGCTAAGACAGACTCTGGCCTGAGGACAGTCTTCTTCTCCCATGTCTCATCTCACCATGCCACAACTCATCATGCTTTTTTGCATTTCTGGGGGAAGTTTTTGTAGGAGCTGTTTGGGCTCTTCCTCTTTTGCCACCGACAGAGTCTTTACTGCTTTCTTCTTCCTCTCTCACAGGTTTGTACCTGTGGTAATAAGACCATATGAAAGATTTTTAGACATGCGTATTATTCTACAAAGCTAAGGTTCAAGTTACAGACAACACAGAGAACTCATAGAATGCTCTAAAGTCTACTCTCCCTTTCCGTTTCCCTATTTTGGATTCAGAGAGTTATAAAATACCTAGACAATGTCTTCCTAAGATAAAAGAAGTCTCATAAGAAACTTCAGGGATTATTATTTTTTTTAAATGGCTTGATGTTAAGTGGCAGACTCTAAGGCAGTACAAGAAGCTGCAGACGAATGCCTATAAGAATTCAGAGGTGCCAAACTTATTACCTAGCAGAACACTAACTTTTGAACATTTTTAGTTAAATGTAGGATTCAGGGTCTCCTCTCTTTATAATATCCAGTCATGTATTTAACATGAATTCCAAAACACATGAACAGTCTTAAAGCACAAACTACCAAAATAAATCATTTCAGACTTGCCATATTGTGTGAGTCTTTGTCCAAATGCCAGCTCTTCCAAGAGGATTACTCTCATCATCAGTAGATTCTCTCTCATCTTCAGCCTGTATACTGAACTGCCGTACTGCCTGGTACACAGTCATGTTATAGGGTAGCAAATGTTCTCCAATATAAAACTGTAGCCTGTGTCTTACATTTCCTGAATTTAAAAACTGAGCAGCCTGAATAATGCAAAACAAAATTCATTTTAAGTCACAAGTACTGACATCTATATATATATTTATCTGCTGGGGATACAGCTGAAGACCTATGGTGGATGTTTGAAACCATAGATAGTACAGAAGCCTATGTAGGATGAGCATTACTCATCAGAAATACTTAAGGACCAGAGTGCTCAGATTTTTTCTTTAAATTTGTATGAGTTTTGTGACATTTGCATTTACATAATGAATTATCTCAGGGACTGAATCTAAGTCTAGAGATGAAACTCAATTTACATTTATTGAACATGTTATACATACAGACTTGAAGATAATCTTCTATCACTATTCTTAGTGTACCTCCATGTTTACTGTGACTGGGCATAAAAGGCCAAGTATAGAATTTTCCACTTGTGACATCATGTTGGCACTCAGAAAGTTTTGGGTTTTGAAGCCTTTCATATTTTGAATTTTCACACTAGGCTATTCAAACCATGTATAATGTACTTTTTTCCTGAATATGAAAAACTAATTTATAAGTAGATGCAGTGAGGTTATTAAAAAAATAATTCTAGAAATATACTACAATAAAATTAAAACTTATATTGCCTTTCATCTGGAATCTTCCACATATTTCCCAATATAATGTTGATGATAGGTAACTCAAATCATGGAAAGCTAAATCACAGATAAGGGGGAAATGTGGTGGGGAAAGTACCTTACCAGAGATTCATCTATTTCTTCATCTGATCCATCATCATCACTATCTTCATCATCTTCTCTGACTCTTCCATACCCTGAGTGCCCAAAAATAAGACAAATACTTAGGAATTTTAGGTGTGTAATGGAAGTTTATATACACTGGCAAAAATGGTATTTTCTTCAAGGAAAAAAAAATGTAGGTATCACATTCTGATCTATGATAGAAAGTTAAAAAATTTTCAAACACAAAATGCTCTTCCCTAGTTAGTTCAACATATGCCTTTTGTTGCTGACAGGAATACAATATTCTACTAAGTTTTAACAAAAACACTACAACAGGAAAATAGTCTATCATTTAATGCTAACTTCATTTCCATGTTAATAAAGTATACACATGCAAAGTACCTCTAACCACAAGATATCTCTCAATAGCTTGTACCAAAGCCAGGGGGTCGATCTTGACAGGCCCACCTTTCCACTGCTTCACATTTGCACAGTCTGGATGTCTTTGTAACTGACATTTTAGCTGATGTGTGTTGAAAAATTTTAAAGCTTGTGATCCTCTGTTGAGAGAAAAGCTCAAGATAATTTGTGAAAAAAAAGTTATTCTATTATTTTCACAGTCAACATACTTTAAATAACAGACAATAAAAACTTCATTTTCTTACAGCACAAACCAATGAAAATGTTCAACAATTCAAATTATTATGAATGAAAATCTGTGTGTACGGATACATCTGAAGAAAACATGGAATGAACACTTGATCTCTAGGTCATTATGAACTCATAGGATGATCAGCAGTACCATGAATACTGGCTTCTAAGAAATGCCATGGATACTGGATTCTTTCTCTGAAATTTAAAGTTTTCAACTGGCCAAACACACTCACTTCTGTGCATTTTGTACTTTTCTACTTAAACTCTATTTTAAAAATAAAGGAAAAAAAAATCCTCCATTCTTTTGCCTTCAAATATTTGGTGTGGTGGCGCACACCTTTTGATCCCAGCACTTGGCAGACAGAGGCAGGCGAATTTCTGTGAGTTCTAGGCCAGCTGGGGACCCTGTCTCAAAAAGACAAAAAAAACAAAAACAAAACAAAAAACACCACTTAAAACTAACTTTCAAATTTACTTTGCTACATACTTATGAATAGCTACATTGGCAGATAACAGCAAATTTGTTAACAGCTTTGGCCAAGAGTCAAATATAGTCAAAATGATGTTATCTGTAAAAACTCTGAAGGATGCAAACAGGAGCATTTAAAAAAAAAAAAAAAAAAAAAGTACCTCACTACATTGATGTTCATTAAACATACAATACATATAAATAAGGACAAAAATGAAAAGCTTGATGGCTTTTGAGACAGTCTTATGTAGCCCAGGCTGGCCTTCAACTTCAGATCCTTCTGCTTCTACCTCCTGGGATTACAGGTATGTGCCACCATGCCTGGCTTTTCATGAGTTTAGCTAAAAATATCACTTTGTTTCACAAAACTATTCCAAAATAATATTAGTGATAAAAAGTAAACGTGCCATACTATATGTAAAATTTCAAAGCAGAAATCAGGTTCAGCCATGTTATAATGACTTTACCTCTGGCAATGTAGATGCTGTTTTCATTAAGTTTTTAAATACTTTATTTTGTTTTTTTTGTCTTTTTGAGACAGAGTCTCCCTGTAGCCCCAGCTGTCCTGGAACTCATTATGAAGACACGGCTGGCCTTGAACTCACAGAGATCCGCCTGCCTCTGCCTCCCAAGTGCTGGGATTAAAGGCGTACACCACCATGCCCAGCCTTAAAGAGGTTTTTAAAAACACATCAGAATGTAGATTTTAAAGTCAATTTCTTATTGTTGTAGGTTGCAAAACAAAATATTCCATGAAGCTTATAAAATTAACACACACTAATTATTAGCTTTCTGAAGCACCTCACAAGTCCTTAAAACCATTTAGAAGACCAAAATAAAATCCACGTATTTGTTAAAACCAATAAAAACATAAGGTTACAACTACTTATATAAGGAATCAAGGACTATAAATATTTTATTACCTATAGCAACAAAATTCTGGGAGACGTATTACATATTAACGCTTATCAATTCAGGAAAAATTAAAATAATTTTGTTACAAAGGTTGGCAACACATTGATTAGTTTACCTGTTTTTAAGATATCAGGTCTAAGATGCATAGCTTATGCAGCCATTATTTATATACAAATCCCTTCAGTCATTACAGAAGAAAAGTTACTCAAGCAGACCAAGAACTTACCAGATCTCTTGCCATTTTTTTTAACTTCAACAATTCTGGTGGCAAGGGCACATACCTAGGCAATGGTCCTTACCTGCCTCCAGTCCCATTTCCACTAGGGAAATCATGCACTTTGACTGGAAATTGTTCCATTTGGCTGAGGCAGTTGTTCATCTTGTGAACTAATGCCAACAAAGGTGCATTGCCCACTGGTTCTACTCTTCCAATGGGCTCTTCTCCAGGAAGCTAAAGTTATAAATAAACAAACAGGTTAAACATGCCTTTTGAAAACAGAACACTATGCAACAAGAAACTTTAATAAGCAATTTTCCAGAAAGATTTACAAAAAGATCTATTAATTTTCATCTTTTGTAATAGACTACACTAGGACACTGCTTCCAAGTAACTAATTTCAATAAAGAAACTTTGTATACAGCCCAAAATTCCTTTTTCAGAATTCATGAATCCAAGTGGTCCTGAGAACATGAGTCCAAATTGGAAACTCTGATTCAGACATGAGGCTATTTCTAGTCTCTCATGATTTCACATTAAGAATACTGATGTTTCACTGTAAAAACAGTCCTTATATATGATAAACAGTGCTATATCACTCAGTGTGAGGGATAGTAATGTAAGGAATTTTATAAAACTCATGAACATTCAGACTAAGGAGTTGCAGATAACAATTATGGACCAACATATAATCTTAAGGAATAAAATACTGTTATCTTACAAATGTACCACTTCATACACAAATAAAAACAATGATTCTGTACCATGCTTTCCAATAATATTTCTGTTTTAGGTACCCACACAGGTTAAACTTGCTAATGATGGAGGAAATCAGTAGGCCTATTACACAAATAATGGAGAGACAAACTTCCTGAGGCATGCCTTCTCTCTAAAGCATGCTGTAATACAAAAAGAATAAATTAACAGAATGCAGGAGTGGCTAGCTTTTGTTTTCAACCACTACAGTGTAAGAAAAGGGGGCCAGTCCTGTGGATGTTAGCCTTACAATCTACATTTGCAAGCTTCAACAAATATTGACACATTCATAGGTGAGAGATTAGTATCAAGTCTTGTCTTGCAATGGGGAGGGGGGTGGTTCTCAAGATAGTTTGACATAGACTTCATTCAGGTCACTGGGGGCTGGGAGAAGGGAGTTGTTTTATGTTTTTTAAAGCAGTTCTCGTAACTAAGGCTGGCCTTGAACTCACTATGTAGCCAAGAATGGACTTCAACTCCTGATCCTCCTCCTGCCTCTACCTCCCACGTGCTAGGATTACAAGTATGTGCCTCCATGCCTAGCTTCAGTTCACTATTTTACTTATTTTTCATGATACATAGTCAAAAGATGCCAGGTGTGGTGGCACATATCTTTATAGTCCCAACATTTTGGGAGGCAAAGGCAAGGAGTTCACTGTTGACTTGAAAGCCTGGTTTACACAGTGAATTCCAGGCCAGCCAGAACTACATAGGGAAACTCTGGCTCTAAATAAACAAAAGTCAAAAGCAATCTGTGTATAAGCAGCACACAATAACTTAATAAAAACCGATTAGATACTGTTATTGGGATACAAATGAATTAATGAACACTGACTCTTAAGATTTATAAGCATTATGAATCAACTTACTGGAGAAGAAAAAAATACATGTAGGAATCGTTTTAATCGGATCTCTCTGCTCACAGCATCCTTTTCACTTTTAGAGGTCAAATACAGCAACAACTGTTTCACAAATCCACTATGTTGGATTTCAAATGATGAAACATCAGACTCTGAGACTATGCTACGGATTTCTACAAGGCACTCAGCTCCACCATCCACCTGAAAAAGGAAGAGGGTTTCTATATGGATTTAAACAACACTAAATGTACAGTTCATATTTCAAAGGAAATCAAGTATTTTCTAAATATCCTTTAATGAAAAGAAGGGGCTTGCCAGCCATGAACCCTGTGAACTGTAATAGCAACCTACAGGCAAGATGTGTCTCATCAAATCCCTCCACTATTTCCTGAGGGTCTATTACAGGGAGCTAATACCTGCTGGAGTAGAAAGATAATGGGGTAAGGATGTCCTTCAACTGTGTATGTGTGGAATTGTGGATAATTTTTAATAAGGGGGTTTGTGTAACTCATCCTTAGTAAACACTTGAACCATAGGCTATATTACATGATGAAAAAAGTTGTTCAAGGTTACATAAAAAATTTCCATTTAATCAATGCAGTTTTCTTTTGGGGGGCGGGGGACATGATAATACAAACTGAAAAATAAGAAGCTAATGTTATGAAATCATGTCATTTGCAGGAAAATGAATGGGTTATTGTGTTAAGCAAAATGTGCCCATTTTAGAAACACGAATGCAGCTTATTTTCTCTAAAATACAGAATCTAGATTTTAAATATATGAAAGCAAAATGTCTACCAGAGGAGCAGAAAGAGGGGGAAGGGGAAGGTAGAAATAGGAGAGGGTATGTGGGCAGAGTGTTTGAATATGACCAAAGTGCATTATATACATGTATGAAAATATCACAATGAAACCTATGAATTTATACAATTAATATGCCAATACATTTTTTAAAAACAAGAGAAGCAGCTACAAGTCCAGAATAAAATGATAAAATATGATAGGCTTTAAATTAATATATTGTAGAGTCAACTTTAGAGACAACGTCTTAGAAGACATGAACCAAAATGGCACATCAAACATAACAAAAACTTAAGAAGAATCAGATGAAATGTCCAGTTGCTAAAGCCAGGCAGGGTGGCAACACACCTTTAATCCCAGTACTCTGAGGCAGATCGAGACAGATCTCCCAAAAAACCTCCAAGAGAACAAGAGTCACTCTCAAGCCTCTACCCTCTTCTCAAGTAAATGCTGAGAGCATAGGTGGAGAGAGAGGGTAGGCTTATCTGCTCTAAAAAGCTGAAGATTTTTAAAAAGATATTCTTGAGTATTTCTGAAATGTCTTCATTTGTCAAGAAATAAAGGACGTGAAGGAAATAAAATTTAAGTATTTAAGTATTCCAGTGCATGTAAGAAGATGATGAACCTGAGAGTGAAGAGACAAGCAAAAGAAATGCTAGCAGGAGAGATACATGCTTGGTGTTTAAAACCAACAATCCAGCTGATGGACAGATGCCAAACAAAATGCTCCAGACACAGTACCTGGAGGTTGAGTTGTTCAGTTGCAGCACAAAGTCTCTGAAGGACATTCAAGGCAGGGTTGCTTCCATCCATATTCTCAGAACTAAAATAACGCTCTACAAATTTGTGTGCCTGCTCCTTAATCCAACCTTTAATTTTTTCTCTACAAGGAAAAAGGAGATGTTATGATTCAATCAATGTATATAGAAAGAATCTCCATTATAAATTTAGATTAAAGACCTGTAAGATGACTCAGTAGGTACAGATGCTTGCCGCAATGAAGGGAATTCAATGCTCAGGACCCATATGGTAGGAAGAAAAAAACCATCTCCTGTCCTCAGACCTCCATACACATGCACATGTTCATATACAAATAATAAATGTAATTTAAAAATTAAATTTGGATTAAAATTAAGAGCTAGACTTCAACTTAACCATTACCTATCTACAACAACTACTAAATTCAGATTCTATACTAAACAACTTAAGCTTCTTTTAGAAAATGGGCTAAGGTACATCTAGAGAACTGCTTGGGCACTTAAAATGCATTTCACGTCATCATTCAAACAGTAAATAAGATGTGCAAGTGTTCATACCTAAAAACAAATTCACATAATTATTTACTCAAGGACAGATAGATCTGTATTGTCCTTTACTAATGTTCCCTGAAGAGATGAGGTAAAGAACTATGTATCAGAGACATACCCCACCTTAGGTAAGATGAGCTATGAGAAATGAGATCTGGGTATTTAAATTGTAAGCTTTACAAATATCTTTGCTTAGCTATTTTCCTCAACTCATAAAAAGAAGAGCCAACTCAAAGGAAAAAAAAAAAAATCAAAAGGATTTTCTTGTTTTTGAGACAAGTTCTCCATAGAGAACTCCATCTGGTTTGGAACTCACTATGTAGACCAGGCTGGCTTCGATCTCAGAGAGCTCTGCCTATCACTGGCCTCCTGAGTGCTGGGATAAAAGGAATGTGCCATCACGACTGGCAATTAAAAGACTTTTACAAATAAAATTCTATTGGAAAAATATGTCCTTTTTGTAGAGAAAGCCACTTACATTGGTGTTCTATGTCCAATACCTTCCAAAGAAAACCATCGCCAAGAATTATTTTAATCCATAAAGTGGTATGAAACAGTGTATCTGACAAGAGTTCCAGGTGTTTTTTTTTTTTTTAAGAAGCTCTCATCTAAAATCTTTAAGTTCCACAAAAGTAGGCAGAAAAACTTCATAAATATGTATCATCAGAAAATGAAAAACATGAGGTTTCCAAAGAGAACTTTAGTTTTAAATGTAGATGACCTCCAACTAAAGTTGTCAAATGGAGGTTTATTGTGACGACGTTTTATTTTTGTTTTATGTGGAGCTAGAACTTGAACCCAGGGCTATGCAAGATATATATATCACATATATATCATATATAAGATATATATCATATATAAGATGTATATCATATATATAAGATATATCTTACATATATATATCCTCAGTTCCTGTATAGTTATAATGACACACACCTTTAATAAGCCCAGCACTTGGGAGGCAAAGGCATGAGATTTCTGTGAGATGGAGGCCAGCTTGGAATACCATAGTGAGATCCAGATCAGCAGGAACTATAGGAAACCCTGTCTCACACAAAACAAAATAAAACAAAAACAAAGACTTTCTGATAAAGGCTTAGAAGCAATACAGAACCCCCAAACCGACACACAACAACACACCTCACCTATTATTTGATATGGTGTCCTTTGAGGCAGCCCTGGCAAGACCACTAACTCCCGCAGTTCGTGCCGGCTCAATGTTGTTGCTATTTGACTGTGCACTTAACCTTCCCCATGTTTTTGGATTCAAGCTTGCCAGGAAGGAAGATTTAGGTGACTGAGTAGTGGTAGGGCTTTTAGCTAGGAGACAGAAAAGATCACAGTAAATTGTTTCAGCAGAACTGATGAAGAAAACAGCTAAATTTAAGGTTCACAGCTAATAAACAGAAAGCTGAGAACACTGCACGAACACTATTTCCCTCCTCTAAGGACTTACCTGGATTGTCTACTTTGTCATCATCTCTCGGGGGCGAGTACTTGGGTCTTCTTGGCCCCCGTTTTGGCAGCCGTTTTCTCTTAAGAACATCACTTAACCGACTATCACATGCAAAAGTAAGCGATAAAGTTAGTAATTACCACTGAAAAAGCTAAGTTAAATGATAGAAACAGTTAAGTTATAAACACTGTGACAAACAGGTACTTTCACTGATTATTTGAGACAATCTGCCAGTCAGATTATATATAGAAATGTGAAGACAGGATGAATTACTAACTGATAAGAATAAAAATCTTATTAATTCTCTACATGTTAAGTTTTATAAAATGAAACAAATAGAAAAGTACATGAAACAAATATACACTACAAAGACACCCCCTACCACCACCAAAAAAGAACATGCTAAACCTGGAGTACCATATTGCTTCCCTAAACTAAATGGCAACAAAATACACACAGCATGTAATGCTCATATGATCAAAATACTCTGCTTATAATATCCTACCCAAAGCAATTACATGGCATGAAAAAGGCAATGGCACCATAAACAAAAGCATATGTAAACCCACCAATAGGTATTGTTAATGTGCACAAACTTTTTAACAGTTTGAGCGACCTATCTTGAATTAGAAATATACACACTGAATTGTCTACAGCATCTCTTCTATTTTTGTGTTCTGATTTGGTTGTTGAGTTACTGTCTCCCTACGTAGCTCACACCGAACCCTAAATTCGTGATCCTTCTACATCAACTTCCTTAGCTCTGGAATGGAGTGGAGAGGTCTTCTTTTCTCCATATCTGACTAGAGAATCTCTTCTAAACATCATACAATGTACAACCACACCTTGTAAATAGTCTTTGCTATTAACACTAGAAATAATTTGAAGTCAAAGACTCGAAGATTTAAAAAGCAGCATAAAATAGATGAAAAAAATGACTGAGGGGCTAACAGGATGGTTCAGTAGGTAAAGGCACTTGCCACCCCGAGTTAAATCTCTGGGACTTGCGTGGTAAAAGAAGAAAATCAATTCTTCTGAGTTGCTGCCCTCTGACTTTGACATGGACACCATAGGGCACATGAGCACACATGCACACACAATGTAATAAATGAATGTTCAAGTTCAGTTACTCTGTGGCTCAAAAAAAAATAGAAGTCTCCCAGAGTATGACAAGTCTATGAAATATACTTAACATGGGCTGGAGAGATGGCCTGGTGGTTAAGAGCACTGGCTGCTCTCTTCAGAAGACCCAGGTTCGATTCCCAGCACCCACATGGTGGCTAACAACCATGACTAATGCCAGTTCCAGGGGAATTCTGACACCCTCTTCTTACCTTTGCCAGCATTTGCACCACACGGGTGCACTTGCGCATGGGTACGTGCACACACACACACACACACACACACCACACACAAGCAATACATTCATACACATAAAAATAACTTGTTTTAAAAAAAGAAATATACTTATTGTGCACAAATCTGCTTGACAACTACAACAAACCAACTTTAAAATATGTGTGTGTATATATATGTATATATACATATGTATATATGTGTGTATATGTATCTATATAAAAAACACAGAACAACTTCTACTTTAAAAGTAAAATTAAGACTGCTTCACTTGCCAGACCTGGTGGTGCATACATTTAATCCCAGCACTCCAGAATCAGAGGCAGACAGATCTGTGAGACTGAGGTCAGACTACTCTATATAGTTGAGTTCCAAGCCAGCTGAGGCTATAGGGAAATCCAGAGGGGAGGGAGGGAAGAAGGGAGGGGAGGAAGTTTCACATGGGGGCTTCAGCACACTTGCTGCTCTTAAAGAGTATCCACATGTGAGCTCACAACCACCTGCAACTCCTGTTCCAGGGGATTTGTTGACATCCTCTCCTGGTCTCCATGGGTACCTGCATTCATGTGGCACACACATACTCTGACATACCCACATAAAATAAACTTAAAAGAAAAAAAATGTTTTACTTGGTAATCTTGAGGAGTTGGGGGAAGGGGGGTTCACACAGAGGCAGAAAGATTGAAGCCTACCAGGTCTACATATTAAGTTCCAGGCTGGCCAGGACTATATATCAAGACCTGAGAGAAAGATCCAGCGAGACACTCTGGGACTTCCAGATTGGAATACAGAACCACTGAAGACAAAATTGGGAGCAGGGGCCGGGGTGGGATTGACACCTTGCATTTAGAGTCACTAATGAACAACTCCCTAATTGAAACTAGCTTAGAAATACTAAGGTAGAAGAGCAGAGCTGGGAAAGAAGAACAATGAGGTAGAAGGGAAAATGGGAGAGAAGTGCAACAATGCTATAGGTGGGAATGGAAAGCCCAATAGTCTTAAAGCCCAATTTCCACAAAGTTGGCTAATAACTCACCTATCTTCCTAAAATAACAATTACTGCGCAACAAGTCCTAATTTACAACCAGTCCAAACCCAGCTTTCTATTTAAACTAATGTAGATGACAACTGCCACAAGGTGGCAGCAAAAGCAGCTCTTCCCTCAAGCATTGGACCCCCAGCAAGGTGGCTGTGACAATGCACTCAAAAGTGTGCATGATTTAATTTTAGGGCCCCACTGAGAACTGATATTTTACCAAGATATACTTTACAGCTTAAAAGGAGCAGCATACAGCATTACATTGGAAACATCGTAAATTTCAGAATGTACTGTTAACATACCACTCAGATGGCAATATTCAAGTTTCTAACATAAAAGAAACAGAAACACCTACATGTATGATCTACTTACAGCACAACAGAATGAGAAAACCAGTATGAGTTTCTTAACATTCTAAGTAGCACAAGAGAACAGAAATGAAAGTTGACAAAATAGGCACAAGTGACTTAATACTTAGTATTAACATATTTGCTCATTAAAGCTAAATGGGAAATCAGCTAATTCGAATTTTTCACTGTATGAATACCTGGCTATCTCAAGGACATATGCAACACTACAGAGTTATGGAATGAGAAACATGCAATTATGGAATCAGAAACAACTGAAATACTACATCTTGATAGTACACATCAATTCCCTTGAGTACCAAGGGGAACAGTGTAGTTTCCGAAGTATTTTCTTTTCATTCCAAAGATCAGAGGGGCTAACGATGTATGTAGTCCTGTGGTAGAGATAACTGTCAACACATGATGAGGCCCTGGGTTCTAACCACACCACCAGAAAATATAATGTCTACTACTCTCAGTTATTTTCGCCCCGTAATAGACTGAGGTATCCATGAAGAGATGAAGGCAAAGTATGTGAGAATCACAATAAAACTTGTCACTCACCCTTGAGGGCTCAGGTCCAGAGAATCATCTCTGCTATGCTGCAAGCTGGGTGACCCCAGATCAGCAGTGGCGTTGGTTGCAGCTGTGGCTGTCCCACTGCTGACTGATGTTGTAGATCCCAAGGATCCTGACCCATTTGTACACGCCTTTGGTGGACTTGTCAACAAAGACTCTGATTCTGCTAAATGTTTTACTTGATGCATCACACCTTCATAGTAATGGGGACGAAAAGGAGTAAATTTTAATCAGGAGTTAAGACCACCGCCCCACCACTACAAAATCCCTTAATACTGATTAACAGAGAATGACTAGAAACATACCAGTAATTGTGTGAGTGGAAGTGGGGGTGCATGGGGGAGTGGGTATATGTTAAAGTCAAGAGTTTCATCTTCACTCCAATCAAAAAAAAAAAAAAATTCAAAGTCGAAGGTAATTTTATTGAATGTCTTCTAATCTTCAAAACCAGATCTTATTTTTTTAAACATGCTACTCAAAATTCAAAATATGTTTTATAAAACATAATGAATTAAAAAAATATAGCATACCTCACACTGTGGTAGTCAGGAAGGAAAAATACCTAGTATTGCCAGTTAATTTCAAGGGCTACAAGGAGAAAAGATTACAATATGGGCAACATAAAGAGCACTGAAGGGTGGTAATCGCCACCTTTTCAGAGAGTAAGGAGAGCTAAACTAATTTGTGAGAAGGGGTAGGAGGTAGTTCCTATCAGGACAGGAGCTATTAGTTGATAGTTCAATAGATAGATATATACACATAGTCATATAGCCAAGAAAGTCAATGTAATTAAATATGTACACGTGCAAACATTATTTCTGGAAGTAGAGTTCAGAGCTTCCATTAGTCTTAAAAAAAAGAACCACAAGCACTTGTTTCACAAATATTGTTTGATGCTGTTTTATGCCAGGCTGTGATAAGTATTGAGGACATGGTCATTGGCAAGATAAATATCCTCATGAGACTAAATGACTTCCATGACAGATTTTCTAAGAAATTCCAATAAATAAATATGAGTTTATAAAACATGAAATACAGTGTTTGCTAGACCATTAATATATTATAGGAAAACCAAGCTCAAATTGGAAGGAAAACAAGATTTCAGGAAGAAATTAATACAAACTGGAGGACCTAGACAGATGTGAAGCAATAGTATCAATCCTCCATAAAAGTCATTATGTGTATGTATATAAATATCTGAGGGCAGAAAATGTAATCTGATGTCCTATCAGTTTAACAATAACAACAACAAAAAATCACTTGGCAGTGGGGCGGTGGAAAGAGAGAACTTAATTTCATATACTTTCAAACCAGAGGTAAAAGAAACAAATACAAACAAAAAATTAACACAGTTAATTTTAAATGGTGAAAACGTCTTCCTCTGTTCCTACTCTTACACGAGTCGATCCTATTTTCAAGATGTGCAAAGATTAAGAACCCAATGGGAAAAAAAGGTGATCAAACAAATCAAAAATTTGGAATGAAATTTAAAACTAAACATTACTTATCTTTGAAGTTATCAAGAAAATTATATAGACATGTATCAATCTCTTAGGATGAGTTTATCATTCAACTGCCTCAAATTGAGGAACTGGACTAATTACATTTTAATTGCTCAAATCCTTGAAACATTCCATTCTCAACCAGGAAATACTAAACTTTTAACATTAGAAACAAACTGATCTACTCTGATTCACTGTGGGGAAAAACAATCTGACATTCTCAAGAAATCACTATGGATGAACATATACTGGCTATATTTTAAGTCTAGGATTGTTTCTGAACTTGAGTGCATATAAAAATAATCAAGTCACTGAAACGTACTGATATTCATGAAGTGACAATGAATCTTAACCTGTATTCATATACACACATTAATTGATATAACATATACTATAAATAATTTAGTATAAGACATTTATATTTTTAATAGCTCGACAGTTAATTATTTTCCTTCTGTACGCTAAGTACACATTTCTCTTCAATGTCTATCTACATTAACTGATTCATCATTAATGCATCACCAAGAAGGACATTACCTTCTCTTCTGAAGTAAACACTAAAAATATCGGGTAACTTTTGCATTAAGATCTCTGCCATCTGAAGTGCCCCAACTACTATCTTCAGGTCTTGGCTTGATAGCATGGAAGCAATGTGACTAAAAGAGAAAGCATTTGTATATAAAACTGAACTTGAAAATTAGTTATGGTCACACTACCTAAAATTTAAGAACATTCCACTAAAACAAAATTTTTACTATGTAGCTTTGTTTTTAATTAAAATTTTGTGTTAGACATTAAAAGGATTCAAAATACTCCAAGACACTTTCTTTTTTCTTCCTGTAGCATGACTCCGGAAATTTCTAAAATTACTTCAGACTTAAATTTCTGAATTATTTTTTACTATGTTCATCAACACACCTTGAAACAGCATGATTTTTCAGAACATCCTTCAGAAGTTCCGCATCAGCAAAATAAATTATCCTAAGAATTGCTCTAAGGCACTTATGTCTGACTGCAGGTCCTGCTGAGGAACTATACACTTCATAAAGAACACCAAATAATGTCTTGATAAAAGACTTAGCCAGGTCTGGATCCTCTTTCATTAGTTGTGCTCGAGCATCATCCTTCTTTAATTCTGAATATCCACCTGTTATAAAAAATGTATAGTCCTGAATTGAACTTCAGATACACAGTAAACAAAGTCTCTGTAAAAAATATTTGAAATACTAACAAAATTTTTTTCATTATAAAACAACAAATTAATCAAATCGATTAACTAGGGCATATTAAAGAGCAACATTAAGAAAAACTACTATTCTGACCAGCTCAAGGTCTCAAAGTATTACTGTACTGATTACAGCTCTTCATTGTACTAGTACATAGTCTACGAAACACTAACAAATGTTCAATACTAAGCAACTAAAAAGCTGGTCAGAAATAAGCAGAGGACTAGAAATGGACAGTGAGTACATGGCTAAAGGCTACGTATATAAAAGTGAACAAAGTGATTTCATTATTTTGCCCACAGAATATTTGAGGTGAAAAGTAACTGGTGAAAGATATACATAAGGACTTGACCAATTATAGTTACATAAGCCCATCTTGTAGATCACTTAGTTTTGCAAATAAACCATGTATATTTGTTTAGAACTTCTGCTTCGTTGCTTTGGAAATATGACAGTAAGTGAGGAGTACAGGGAATAAATATGTGGCCTATGAATACTGAAAACTAAGCTCTAGACAGAACTACAAAAGCATAGGGCAAAATTGCCCAAGCAAAGGATTAAATAATGATGGGGGGGGGGGAATGCCAAAAACCAGGCATAAAATAAAAATCACTATGGTCTTGTTTTCCACTAGTTCCACTAGTTTGGACAGGAAACAAAGGATAAAATGTTTGGAAAAACTGAATTGAGGAGTGGATGCATATAAAGACAGGTCAAATAACAGGATCAAATAAACACTTGCACTATTTAGTTCTAATAGAAGTTCCCAGGATGGGATCCCCCTAAGTAGAAAAATTGTGGAATATACCAGTAGTGGAATATACCAGTAGTGACTTATTCATTTTAACTATGTGGTTTTAGGAAAATGGATCACTGTGATGGTATGATCTTAAAGCTTCCTAAGAACAGTCAAGAAGTAATTATTATGCAATATATAAAGCATTGCAGGGATAGCTAGATAGCTCAGTGAGTAAAGGTGGTGCCAGTGAGCCTGAGTTCATTATCAAGAACCCACCAGATGGAAGAAATTACCCTCCCCTCTTAAGTTGCATTCTGACCTCCATACACATATACATATACATACACACACACACACTATATATATACACACACACACACATATATATATATATATACACATACATACACACACACATTTGGTAGGTGTATTATTTACATTAGCTATCTCTGTGACTAAATAGCTGGCAAGCAAGAAGTGACCTAAGGGAAAAGTTGATTTGGGCTCACAGCTTAAGTCTATCATGGCTGGGAAGGCATAGCAGCTCTGTGGCAGCAGAAATGTGTGGCACTGCTTGCTCACATCTCTGTGGATCAGGAAGCAGAGATGGAACAGGAAGTAGGGCCAAGCTATAACCCTTAAAGCCTGTTGACAGTGACTGACTTCCTCCAGCAAGTTACCACCTCTTAGAAATTTCTCAAACTGCCAGTGTCACCAGCTGTGTGCCAAGTATTAAAATACATAATCCAACTTCACAAATGGCAGTTATATTCTCTTAATAGATGAAATTTTAGTGCAGAGCACAGGAAGAAGGGCCCAATGATAAATGGAGAGTTGATGAATACCAGACAATGGATTTAATCACTACAAAATCTATATATATATATATACACATACATACACACACACATAAACGTAAACTTTTCTAAAAAAGAATACATTACATAATAGTACAGCACTATTTAATGCAAAACGTACTTACTAGTGTTAGTATTGGCTAAGGGGTTAGGTTTTCTCTGAATGGCACGTGCTGTTCCCGTGTCCTCATTGATTTGCTGCATAGAATTAAAATCAATAGTATAAACTCGTCCCAGAGTGGACAAGCTTATCTCATCCTCACCGACCTGATGGGCTGCCTGAGAGCAAAGAGAGAGAAACCTTGAATATAAACAAGTAGGAATCCATTACCTTAAGACAGAGCAGGGACCCTCCAAAATACTACCTTATATATTTATTTCATATGGTTGGTGAAGTGACAGAAAATGAAAAATGTTTAATGACAAAAGTCATTCATTCAACAAATCCTAATTATAATTAAAGACACACCTTAGACCCTATCAGGTACCTTTAGACATAAGGTCAAGGTAAAATTCTGATCAAATAGTCATGTAGCCTAACTGACATAAAAACACCATTTATACTTAGAAAGCTCTTAGGACAATGGTTAAAGAAAATTTTATGAATGTTCTTAGATTCCTAATTATTAGATAGGAAACATTACTAGCCTTGTGGATTTTTAGTAACCTACTAAAAATCTCCCTTTAAACCAAATACATTCTAGAATTATTGGGTAAACAAAGACAATCTTACACTTAAATGGTGTTGTGAGATTTTAAGGAACACAACTAAAACTAAGCTCTACAACTAATAACCAGTGTTCATGTAATAACATAGAAAATTATGTGTTTAGCCTCAAGAAGTCACAAAATATGCTAGGCCGTGGTGGTGCACACCTGGAATACCCAGCACTAAGAAGGCTAAGGCAAGATCGGAAGTTCAAGTATAGCCTAGGCTACATAGTGAAACCCTATAACAGGAAAAAAGCAAAAAAAAAACAATCAATATTCACAGTATGAAGCAGTCCAATCTAAACTGAGACTTAGAATGGAAGAACTCTCAGGAAGTACTAGAGAATAAACAGTGACGGTCTAATTATAACAGAAAGGCTAAAAAGAAAAATACTTAAGGTTAGAAGTTAAGAGCAGAAGTTAAGAGCACTAGCAGGTATGGCTTGCTTTTACAGGATAACAATACACAAAGGATCAGTCACCAGTTAATTTTCTCATAAAAGAAAACTGGCTTTGAAAAGAGCTCTTTAAAACAACTCCTAATTTTACAACTAAGTCAATGGTTTGAATGTTTTTATCAAAAATTAGTTTATAGAAACTATTTGGAGGAATACATCTTTAAAGAGGAATGGCTACACGAGATGTCTAATGATTTAATCAATTATGATTTGAGGTTAAGTTTCATACTGAATGTTAGGAAATAGTGTGGCATCCCAAATAATGCAACACTTTACTAGAACAAGTGTTTGATTTATGAATTTCAAGATTCATTTTAGTGTAAATATAGAAATGAAAATAAAATTAAATACATAAAAATCATACATCAGCTACCATAGGAAACTATCATAACAATTTGGCATAGTCCCCTTTGTTGTCTTATTCATTTTTTTCTCTTGGACTGAGTGCCCAGAAGTCCCACAATTTTGTATATTGCCATTTTCATTTATGTGCTTACAATTTATCTCATTAAAACTAAATTATAAACTAGTCTATTTATGCTATTACTGACCCAGAGAAAGACACTTGCTTCCATGTTTTTTTCCCTTAAAGAAATAACTGACAAGTATGTAAATCATTGTTGTGCGAGACTTCCTCTGGAAAGAAATAGTAGAGCTGTTTTAAAAACATCACCTAACTCCTCTAGTGTCTCCTTTCAAAAGTGAGTAAACTACGGGACAAAGAACTTAGATTACTTGCTCCAAGTCAATCAGGTAGTTAGCAGCAGAAGCAGGACTAGAACATGATGTTTTCTGACCTGAACAGAAATGAGGACCTTGTTTCTCAGGAGACAAAATGAGAGAATCTTGAGTTAATTCAAAACTGAGCACACTGAAGCACACACAACCACCTCCCAATTCCATCCCTACACCCACTCTCCACAGAAATAGACATATTTGAACGGTACGATGAAACTACTACCTCAATGATCCGGCTGTCAATCCTGTTATAGGGATGCCAGAGGCCCCGGTCATCACGCCACTGCCATATGGCACCATCTGTGTTCTGTGCATTTCCCTTCTTCAACATGGTATCAACTGCAAAAATGCCTTCTTTTGGTAAACATGGCATAAGTTCACTGGAAAAAAACAAAACGTGTGATTATTTTAATAAATAACTTTCTGAACCATCTGTTAAGGTCTCTAAAGTAAAATAACCTCACATCAATCAGTTATTATGAGCCCCATTTTTACCAAATTAGAGATGTCAATTCATACAGTTCTTGAGGACTTCGTGGAACAAGATCAATCTGTTCCTGACAACTTCCATTGGAGGCACCACACAGGAGGAAGTGAAGTGTTTCTGCAATATCTGTAAAGCCAGCAACAGCCAAACATAAGCGTATTAAATTAGCTGTAGTAATTATTATTCACTGGAGTGGAAGATTATCTTCCTATAAAGCAACTTAATAAGGAAATTTAACAATCCAAACTAGCTATATAAAACAATTTTCAAAGAAATTTGTGTGTACTTTAACAGTTTCTTTCAATGGAAAGCCTGTGAGAGCACATCTTCCAGCTGGGTGTGTGATCACAATTAAACCATTTCACAGAGCTGGTCTCCATGGTGTCATTACTTTGAGAAGCAGGGTACTTCGTACCGAATTGCATTCAACAGGTTACTATTCAAATAAACTCATTTACTTATCTTTCATTCAAATATACTGAAAAAATGTAGCCAACAAGATCTAATGTAGCACTTACAAGGTTCTGAAGTTTGTCTTTCTTACCCTATGTGATATTGCTTGTATGTCAACTTGATATAAAGCCCATGTTAAAATATTCTCTGTATTAAGTTTCTACTCCCAGAAGACATCATTTTCTGGATTATCTGGCCTAATAACCACTTAGATGTACCGGTACTGTGAGTGCAGGAGTTCCCAGTCACCACAGGTTTAGTGACTGTATTTGGGGAAACCTCAAGGTAGAGCTGTGTCTGTCCTTGTTGGTGCACTTAAATATACATATGCAAAAATGCACAAATCCAAGTGAACTTAAAAAACTTTAATATCTTTAGCCGAGCATGAAAATGTACACCTTTACTCCCAACACTCAGGAAACGGGTAGGAGGAGCTCTGTGAGATAGAGGTGAGACTGGTCTCCACAGGGAGTTCCAGGCCAGTTGGGACTACAGGGAGACCCTGTCTCAAAAGGACAAAACACAACCTTAATATCTTGATAAAGTTTTGCTAGCTTAGTTAAGAAATGTGAATACACCAAGTAGTTTGTACAAGAATGCTTTAATGGGCTGAAGATGTAGCTCAGTGGCAGAGCACTTTAGGCCTTTAGTTCACCCAGGACTACAAAAATAAACAGAAGGGTAGACATGGGCTTTAAATTGTGTTTTATTATTATTTATGTGTATGGGCACATTGCCTGCATAAATATGAGTGCACCATGTTGTTCAGTACCTGCAGAGGTCAGAAAAGGGTATCTGATTCCCCTGGAACTGGAGTTAGAACAGTGCTGGGAATCAAACCCAGATCCTCTGCAAAAGCAGGTGCTCTTAAATGCTGAACCATCTCTCCAGCCCTTTAATGTGTTTGTTGTTGTTTTTTAATTTAATTCAGGTCTTTTTGAGACAGACTGGTCTCTCAGTAGCTGCAGCTGGCCTGGAACTTGCTATGTAAGACCAGGCCTGCCTTGAATTCAGATTCACCTGCCTCCGCCTGTTGGGATTAAAGGCCACCTACACTTGGCTTAGTTTTGTTTTTTAAAGAAATAAGGATAGCAACATCAAAAGTTCATGTTTATTCTATGATACCACTGTAGAAAGAAAATGTATCTACTGGTTTCTGAATGACATAGGTAGAAAATTTCCTGCACTATGCAAAAGTGGTAAAAACATGACATTAAAGGAAAAATTAAAAAGTACATTGATTTTTCAAACTGGTATTTAGAGATGTACTACCATACCATACTGTAGAGCTAGAAATAAACTTTATTTCAACTCCAGGAAATTCTGGGTTAATCAAAAGTTTGAAGTGCTCACAGACACTTTAGAATAAATAAAAGGAATGGAATTGAGACTACTTAAGGAGAAGTTAAAAATATCTAAATCTTACTGACATGACAGACAGAAGAGTATTCTACTTACAACAGAGAAAAAAAATCTTTTAAAACTAATTAACTTCAACAATGCTATCTATTTGCCAAGTTCTGGGTCAATGAATTAATTCAAAGGAAATGGAAATAATTCACAATTGGAATTCCCACAACCAAAATATTGCATTGCTAAGTAAACTATATGAAAGAATGGGATGAAAAGCTGTATTTTCAGTGAACATTAAAGCTGACTCTCAGGCCAAGTATGGTGTCACACACCTTTACTCCAGCACTTGGGAGGCAGAGGCACCTGATCTCTCCGACTTCCAGGCTAGCCTGGTCTATATAGCAAGTTCTAGGTCAACCAGGGCTATATAGTGAGCTCTTCCACTGTGGTTTGAATGAGAATGTCCCCCACAGGCTCCAAGTTATTTGGATGTTTTTCTCCAGGCACTGTTTTGGGAGGTCTTAGAAGGTGTGGCTATGCTGGAGGAAGTAGGTCACTGGGGGTGGGCTTTCAGAGTTCTTAAACCATGCCAATCTCCAGTTGCTGTCTGTTTCTTGTACCTGGTTTTGAAGATGTGAGCAGGTAGCTTTCTGTTCCTCCTCTGGCTACTTCCTGCCACCATGCCTCCCAACCATAATGAACTCTTAAATAAACTCTTCCTCTAAGTTCCCTTGGCCCTGGTGTTTTATCTTAGCAACAGAAAAAAATAATACACCTTGTCACAAAACAACAACAAACCAACTGACTCTCAAGACAATACCTTCAAAGTTTAGAATTATGGATATGAAATGAATCATAATTATAGGTGTTCCAAATACAACCTTCCTAGAAAGAATCAAAACATTTAGATGTTTTCTAAAGCCATACAAGCTTCTGACAATTTATGAAACCTAAGGCTGAAGGAGGAATGCTGAACTGTAATCACAGTGCAATTCTATCTTATTTCCTGAACAATGGATACAGATGGCAACAGTTTATAAACAAAGTTAGTAAAAACCAGGAGATACTCATCGGTGGAAAGAAGTTCTAACTTTTTGAGAGTAGAGAGTATTCTGCAATCAGATAATTGACTAGAAAATTTAACATAGACCAAAAAAAATAGTTATCTATAACCTCAATACAACTAGTTGCTGACAATGTAAAACAGAATTCTACATGTGACTAATATTGTAAAGAAATCAATGATCTTGAGTCATTAGGCCTAGAACAACCCAGGTTAAATTTTAAGAATATGCAAGGTTAATATTAGCTTATCAAATCATTGTCCTATGTAGGGTGGGTGGTTTTTATAGGGAGGGACAGGGCTGGGAAATCAAGCCAGAGCCTCCTATGTTAAGCGCCTCTTCCACAAAGCCACATTCCTAGCCCAACATTGTTCTTCAATATTTGATAATACTAATAGTTTCTTTCACTTTTGTGACTTATATTGACTTTTAGTGAAGAACAAGTCACTTTTCCTATTTAATATACAATAATAAAACGGCACTTACTTTGTTTCATAAGTTGAACAGCTAATGTTGGGCAGTTGGAACACATCAGAGAAAACATGCGAACCACCATTATAAACATCCCAGAACTTAAAATTGGTGGAGTCACTACCAAGAGTTGTTGAACATTTGTAAGAAGATCTTTGGAGGCAACCTGCTGCAGTAAATTCTTCATGAACACAAGAAAAGAAATTATTATGCTGTAATTTAGCCACTTGGCAAGTTTAAAAACATATTAGCAACGACTAAACATTTACCTCCTCATGTTGAAAGTTGTCCACTAGACGTGCAAAACAAAGGCAAGTGCTTTCTACTGACTTTTTGTCCTATTTTTTTTGAAAAAGAAAAAAAAATTAAAATGTTTGTACCACCATAGGTTCCTACTTTAGCTTCTCTTTAACCCCAAACTCAAGGTACCCTCAATGAGAAGGTAAAAGTTTTGAAAATACAAATAAGCCTAGGGGGGAAAGTACAGAAGCTCTTTCCTCTGCACTTCCCAACAGATGAAAGCAAATACACAGCATAGGAAAAATACATACTTATGTAATCTCCACACCCTAAGCAAAAGTTTAAAAAGATAAAATCCTATTTTTCTTTAAAAGTATTTGATACGGGGGCTGAAGAGATGGCTCACCAGTTAAAGAGCACTAGCTGTTCTAGCAGAAGACCCAGGTTCAAATCCCAGGACCCACATGCTAACAACCATCTATAACTCCAGTTCCAGGGTATCTGATACCCTCTTCTGACCTCAAGGGCATTACACGACATGGGCACACTTACATGCAGGCGTTAACACTCATACATGTAAAATAAAAATAAATTTTCAAGTATTAGAAATGGAAATTTTTTGCCGGGAGTGGTGGCACACGCCTTTAATCCCAGCACTCGGGAGGCAGAGGCAGGCAGATCCCTGTGAGTTCAAGGCCAGCCTGGTCTACGTAGTGAGTTCAAGGCCAGCCTGGTCTACGTAGTGAGTTCAAGGCCAGCCTGGTCTACGTAGTGAGTTCAAGGCCAGCCTGGTCTACGTAGTGAGTTCAAGGCCAGCCTGGTCTACGTAGTGAGTTCAAGGCCAGCCTGGTCTACGTAGTGAGTTCAAGGCCAGCCTGGTCTACGTAGTGAGTTCAAGGCCAGCCTGGTCTACGTAGTGAGTTCAAGGCCAGCCTGGTCTACGTAGTGAGTTCAAGGCCAGCCTGGTCTACGTAGTGAGTTCAAGGCCAGCCTGGTCTACGTAGTGAGTTCAAGGCCAGCCTGGTCTACATAATGAGTTCCAGGACAGCTGAGGCTACAAGGGAGACCCTGTCTCAAAAAGACAAAAAAAAAAAAAAAAAAAAAAAAAAAAAAAAAAAAAAAGAAATATGAAGTTTTTAATATGCATACTAAAAACGTAGACTAACAAGTGCTGGCGAGATGCCACCTGCTGCCAAACCTGCTGACCCGAGTTCAAATCACTACAACCCAGAAGGTAAAGAGAGAACCGATACCTGCAAGTTGTTCTCTAACCTCTACACATGTGCACACACATATACTGCATAGGGACTTGAACATTCAGATTTTTATCGTCCTCAAGAAATCCTAGAACCAACTGCCTAAATACCAAGGAATGAATGTATTGACAATGCAAAAATTTGTGCATAAATTCGCCATATTCACTATAGAAACAATTTTAAAAGAATTTGACAATTGGAATCAATTTGCTAATCATAATAAAAACTAGGGAGCCTCATGGGGAAAACACCTGTAATAATCCTGCTAACATTTTCCTTACTTAGTATTTTAGAAGTTGTTAGGCTATACATAAAAATTAAGACTTTTGTGCTTGCTTCGGCAGCATATACACTAAAATTGGAATACAGAGAAGATTAGCATGGCCCCTGCGCAAGGATGACACACAAATTCATGAAGCGTTCCATATTTTTGTGTGCTGTCATAGTATCTAGATGTAGTTTTGATTGTGACAGGAAAAATGTGCTTGGCACCTTAATAAAGATGTCGGGGGGGGGGGACTTTCTTCTGTAAGAACAGAGATTTTGTTACAAAAAGCCCAAAATCTTTGCTCCCACTATGTCCACAAACAGTGCTAAAAAGTAGTGGCCAAATACTTGAACTCCTGATTTCTAAAATAAAGGTATTATGTTATCACTGAATTAGAGAACTATCCTTAACCCAGAAAGATTATCTCAGAATCAGCTATGGTGTCCTATGCCTTCGTCTCAAGTGCATAGTGAGACCTTATCTCAAACCAACAGCCAAGTAAATAAACAAATTAGCCAGACATGGTTATCTAAGTCAGCTATCCTGTTACTGAAGAGGAAGAGGTTCAAAGCCAAGCTAGATTCTGAGTCAGTCTTTAAAAAAATTTTTGAAGAAAGAAAAATTAATGCCTCTATTCAGTCTTTAGTGTTACAAAAGCAAAACATTCACACACCAGCTGGGCATGGTAGTGCATACCTTTTAGTCCCAGCATTAGGGAGGCAGAGGCAGGAAGAGTTCCAGGCCTGGGGCAACAGGGAGACCTTGTCTCAAAAAGACCAAAAAAATAATAAACATTCACACATGATTCAATTATCATAATTCATCTTAAATAAATACCTTAAACAATTTTGTATATCAAATTTACAAGGTTTCTAACATGGTTTGTAAAAGCAAATTTAAATCAAGATTTCTAAAATATATAGCACTATAAACACAACAGTAAAAGGAAATTTGTTTTTTTCTATAACCTTGATATATAGCTCATAATAGGTGCAATGCAATGTAAATCCTGCTTTTCACACTGCATGATGATATTCTACCGTCTATATACTTTTGTTTTCTCAAACTCCAGATAGCTATAAGCTTATAATCTACATATTTTGTTTGGGTTTTGGACAGGGTCTCTGTGTAGCCCCAGCAGGCCCTCCAACTTGCTATGTAGACCAGGCTGGTCTCCATCTCAGAGATCTGCCTGCTTCTGCCTCCCAAGTGTAGGGAATGAAGGTCTGTGCTACCACGCCCAGTAATCTGGTTTTCGTTCCTATTTCAAAACAGCATGTACCTGTCTACCAGTCTTAACCCATACCCTCCTATTCCTTGTCTGCCCACCCCAATGCCATTTAATGTGATCTTTCTAAAGGTCAACTGATAATGCAAAGTAAAAACGTAGTAACTGCAATAAAAAATTATCCCTTAATGTCAAAATAAATATATCAAACATAAAGAATAGTTCATAGGGCTGGAGAGATGGCTCAGCAGTTCACAGCACTGGTTGCTCTTGCAGAGGACCCGGATTTGGGTCCAGCACCCACATGGTGGCTAACAACTGTCCATAACGGTTCCAGGGAATCTGACACCCTCTTCTGACATTCGATAGCATTGCATGACACAGGTGCACTTACAGGCATGCAGGCAAACACTCATACACGTAAAATAAAAATCAGCTCATTTGGGTAAGTCCACCAAAACTTTATAAAATCGCCCAATATTGTATATGAGTGGTAATACATTTAAAAATAAACATGGATCAGAATACTTTCAGCACATGTAATTAGAAGACTTAAGATACCACCTGAAGCAACCATAACAAAACAGTTTCAATGACATGAAATGGGCTCATATTTTACCTGGTGAGTGAGCCTTTGGGTAAGCAATGGGAGGGAATCTGCCACAAAATGAAACTCATCTGGTGTGATACTCTGGCAGCAATTGGCTGCAATTGCTAGTGCATTTCTTTGGGCATTTATGCTGAAGAATTCTAGATACAGCAAGCAGTCTGCCAAACCACCCTAAAATATAGAGAACTGTTATAAAGTGAAGAAAAATCCTTTATCAGCAACAAAAACAAAAATGTATTAAAATGTCTAGCACACCACTTCAGAAATAGTATGTACATCTTACAGAGCTTACAATCTAGGAACTAGCACAAATGGAAGTCTGTGTCAACTGTAATGAAATACAGCCCTACGGTAACAACGCTTACCGCCTGTAGAATGGCTTTACTGTGTCGCCGAGACAACATTTCCAAGGCAGTCAAGGCCTGCTCTGCCACATCAATGCACTGAATCACCTGCAACTAGAACATTGAAAGATGAAGTCATTACTGAAGTTCTCTTCTAGAACTTGATCTTCTAGCTACATGAACACAGCATTCCCCACTACTTCTAGTAGTCTACACTGCCTCCAACATAAAATCCACACCAGGAAACAAGTCACCTCTGGGTTAAGCTATGAGGTGTAGTCACTACGAAAGTTTCTTCCCCAAAATTACTCCGTTTGGAGATACGAGAAATTGCATTTTATATTTAGAATAAAACTTCCTATTTAAAATAATTGTTTCATATCACAAACATTTTAAACCAAGTTATAAAGTTCATAATATATTCCATCAGAGTAACTATATTCTAGCATATAAACTAAGTTTTTTTTTTATTTCATTATAAAAAGAAAAAAGTTTAAAGAGATACCAAAAGCACAACCTACCAACCACTGACCATACGAAAACTTCCTTTCTCTACTCATCAATTTTTACTGCCATGAGCAACATCCTTCCTCTCAACTTCCTCAGCTATTAAATCCACTGTGCTGATTGTTTTTATTATTGTTTGTGTGCACAAGCCCACAACAAAAAAGATCAGAGGACACCTTTAGGGAGTCAGATCTGCCTTCCACCTTGCTGAGTCAGAATCTCATTGATCATGATGCGCAGTCCAAGGTGGCTGGCTGGCGCCTGGCTTCAGAGTAATTCTCCTGTCTGTGCTTCCCACTTCCCCCTTAGGAGGGTCACAATTAAGATGCATGGCACTGCACCTGGCCTTTTTACATGGATCTAGAACTCAGGTCGGAATTAAACAGCAAGTACCTTGACCCAGTAAGCCACCCCATTGGCCCCCACTGTGTCATTTTTAATGAAATGCTTTGTGTTGTTCTCTGAAAGATTTTAATGTGGTATATGCTATCATGAAAAATGATAAAATTGGGCTGATTTTATAAATGATGTATTGGGTTCCACTATAACTATTGAGCGGCTATACAAAAATAGTTTTTCTGGAAACTGGTACACTTTTACACAAGCTGGGCAAAAGCAGGGCTACCTTTTCTAGAAAGACCGGAATAGCATCGACTACAACAGCAGATGATCGTGGAAGTGCTTCCATCATGTATGTTAAGGCTCGGCAAGCATGATTCATCTAGAAAATAAAGACAAGACTTTTATTCAATAAAAATACAAATTAAAATTCAGACTTTAAAAAACCAACAACAACAAAAAACCCACCACCAACAAAAAAAAGCTAGGCATGGTAGTGCACACCTGTAGTCCCAGCACTCGGGAGGCAGAGACAGGTGAATCTCTGTGAATTCAAAGCCAGCTTGGTCTACATAGTGAGTTCCAGGCCAGCTGGGGCTACAGGGAGACCTTGTTTCAAAATGACAAAAAAACAAACACCAAAAAACCCATATACTTACAATATCAAAATTATGTTCCATCTGCAGTAATGTTATCTATTAAAAAAAAATAAACAAAAATGTTAGAAGGTAAGCTTCTTAGAAAAGTCTAGAAATATTTCCCACTTCACTGAAACGGCTAGAATTACTCCTTGTACCATACAAAAACAAGGAAGGGTTATGTTTCCAATGACAGTAACTTTGATAAAATCAAATCATCTCAGTTGCTGTAGTTCTTCAGAAGTCTATTAGCATAACATTAAGAATTTATCAGTCTAAGAAATACTTGTTATTAAATAATCAGAACCAGCTAGGGCTAGCATTTGCTGAATTAACAACTATAAGCCCAGATTCCAGCAATAGCCTAAGTTCCTATACACATCCTTTAAAAGAAATAAATCAGTTAAGCTGTATAGTGCATAGCTAATATAATATGAAAACAGGACTGATCACATCAGAAACTGTATTAATAGAATACTAAATTAATATAAACATCTGATTTTGCATCTGATTTTATTCTTATGGAAAAAACTTTCATGAGATCTCAGTCATCTTTTTCAAATGAGGTAATGCAAAACTAATAGCAGTCCGTAAATACCATATCTTGAGGCAACCAAGTCAAAGAATTTCGTCTTCAAGGAGAAGACAGTTATTCATTGATCTTAGCTCCTGGAATGTTTAAATGCAATGAATGTGAGCTGTCAAGTACCAATTTAAGTAGTCAAAGACACTTCTATTAAATATTTATAACAGAAGACATCAGATTTCCAAATTTAATATTTAAAAATGTCTTCTCAACGATAAATAATGCCAAATAAAGCACATCTATATACAAGAGGCCTTGAAAAAATTTGTTTAAGAAAGAATATAAAAATTCACCATCTGGGGTTGGAGAGATGGCTCAGCGGTTAAAAGCACTGACTGCTCTTGCAGAGGATCCAGGTTTGATTCCCCAGCACCCATATGGCGGCTATAAACCATCCTTAACTCCAGTCCCAGGGCAATCCGAAGCCCTCTTCTGACCTCCGCAGCATTGCATGACAGGGGTGCACTCACATACATACAGGCAATACACTCATACACATAAAATAAAAATAATTATTTCCATTTTAAAAATTCACCATCTGAGGAAGAAATAATCTAGAATCAGTTAAAAAATGTCTAAATTCAAAGGGCTATCATACTTTACTTTGGGGTGGGGTTGGGGGTTGGAGAGATGGCTCAGTAGCTAAGAGCACTGATTGCTCTTGCAGAGGACCCATTCCTAGCACCAACATGGCAGTTAACAACTGTCCCTAACTCCAGTTCGAGGGGATCCAATGCTGTCTTCTGATCTCTGTGGGCACTGAACAACACAGGTACACTTAAGTACATGCAGGCAATACACTCATACACATAAAATATAGAAGTTTTTTCAAAAAGTACTAAGTTCCCAAAATTTAAGATGGACTGAATCCTCTAAGAACAGATGTAGGAATGACTGCTGTAAATAGATTACCTTATACCAAAAATGACTAGCTGAAGTCACAGAAGTACACAGCAATTATTCTTATTTCATTTCTATTGCTATGGCAATATACTCTGATGAAAAGTAACTTAAGGGAAAAAAGGGTTAATTTCAGCTAAGAAAAGGTTTATTCCAGGTCAGAGCCCTTAACTTCCAGAAGTCAAGGCAGGCAGGCAAGCAGGCACTTGAAGCAACTAGCTTAATCCACAGTTAAGAGATAAATCAATCATTCATGTTTGCTTCCGCTCTGCATCCTCTCTATACCTACACAGCCCAGGATACCCTGCCTAGGCAATGGTGCAGCCCACAGAGGGCAGGGGTCTTCCCAATCAGTTACTGAAGACAATCTCCTACCAACCAGATTAGGCCAACCTAATCTACAAAATCCCTTACTGAGTGAGACACGCTGCCTAGATAACTCTGAATTGTGTCAAGTTGACAATTAAAACTAACACACAGTAGCAATAAATATAAATATATGTGCACATATTGTTTGCAGTAAAATATTATTAATGATGCCAGGTGTGGTGGGCACATGCTCAACACTCAGGAGACAAAGGCAGCCTGGTCTACAAAGCGAGTTCCAGGTCAGCTGGGGCTACAGGGAGACCCTGTCTCAAACAAGAAAACAAAAATATTATTAATGAAAAACTCAATAATATCCAGTATTAGTAACATGATCTGACTTACAAAAGTCTCTTAAGAACTTAATCGCTATTTCTACCTATAGCTAATGGTTTACATTTTAATTATAGAAAGTACAAATTAAGCCCATAGCTGATGAGCACTTTATAAACTAAGGATGATTTCTGAGACAGTAATGGGGTAAGATCAATCTCTACCCCATAGCTACTTAAAAGAAACTTCGGTCATTTAATTTTTTGCACTCTTTTAATTTGTGTACTGAAAAGTTATGGTTGGCATGCTTTCTGAAAAAAGTGTGTGTATGAATTTAAGAGGTATTTATGTAAATTGAAATTAAGGTAATTTTAGAACTGTGTAAGAGCAACTGCTTGTTGTGTGCCTATTTTTTTAAGCTAGCTAAAATGCAAAGATTTAGAGTGCTGATATTTAATTTTTTTTTTTAATTTTTTTTTTTTGGTCTTTTTGAGACAGGGTCTCCCTGTAGCCTCAGTTGGCCTGGAACTCACTATGTAGACCAGGGGGCCCGTGAACTCACAGAGATCCGCCTGCCTATGCCTCCCGAGTGCTGGGATTAAAGGCATGTGCCACCACGCCCGGCTGATGTTTAATTATTAATGAACAGAAATCAAAAAGAAAGTGGAAATTTAATTCACATTATAGAAGCCAGCAATTAAATTAGCTATCTCACAATAGATTAATCATGGGCAAAAATCTAGAATTATCAAAGCTAATGCTGCATTTACATAATATTCACAAAGCAATGGACCAATGGCTAAGAGCGCTTGTGGATTTTGCAAAAGATCCAAGTTCACTTTCCACCATCCAGATAAGGTGGCCCTCAACCACCTGTAACTCCAACTCCAAGAGATTCAACTCCCTCCTCTCATCTCTAAGGGCATGCCCAACACATACATGTAAAAAAAAAAAAAAATTTAAAAAAAAAAAAAAACTTTCACTAGCATAAAACTTGAAAGATCTGAAAACTAACGGCTGGAGATGTAGCTCAGTTGGTACAGTGCTTGCATGAGAAATAACAAGCCCGGGATTCCATCCCCAATATCTCATAAAGTCAACATGGTGCCTGTGATCTTAGCACATGGAAGGTGGAGGAAGCAGGATCACAAGTTTTATGGTCATTCTCAGCTATACAGTGAGCTTAAAGACAGCCTAGAATATATACTCCTCTTTAAAAAACAAAACAAAAACCTTGGTTTTAGCATCTAGAAGTACAGGTACTAAAAAGGCAAGAAACTGGTTTATGTTTTATTAACAGTTGCCAATCCTAAATCATCCAAAATAGAAATGGGTGGATAGTGACTATGTCTCCTTGTTTTAGACAGGACTTGACTTTAGGTCTCCTAAAACATCAATCTTCCATAATGTGGAATCACATAATGTGATTAAATGGAATAATCTCCTGCACTAGTTTTAGCTTTTGTTTTTCATTAACTTCATTAAGTATACAAAAATGATCTAGTATTTATGTACTTATCTAATAGTATCTGATTTCTAGGACTAAAATATGCTATAAACACAATGTTTATATAAACATAATGCTATTCTAACTGGCTGAACTACTCTTGCAATACTAATCATGCAATCTTTCTTAACCACAAAGATAATAATAAATAAGCTTATTAATACAGGAATTATAAGGTCCAACTTTACACAGATAAAAATTACTGATGGGATGAACAACATTTAAAACTAACCAATTAAGTATTGAAGATTAAGTGATTATTCATCCAAAAAAAAAGGACAAAAGTTTTACAAACTCAAGCTAGAGATGTATGTAGTTCAATGATAGAATATTTGTGTGTTGAGCAGACACATGGCTCCTGGGTTTGAACCACAGCATCAATGAATGAAAGAAAAAATTCACTACCTCATCATTAGCATCTATAAGCATGAAATAAATGCATCAAGCCATATACTCATTCTATCAATCATGTCTCAAAATCCGTGCCAGTTGCCTGGTGCAGTGATACATGCCTTTAATCCCAGTACTCAGGAGGAAAAGGCAAGAGGACCTCTGTGAGACCTAGCCAAACTGATCTATATACTAAGTTCCAGGCCAGCTATGGGTATAGGGAAAAACCCTGTTTCCAAAAATAAAGAGGAACTGCATTCAGCAGTCTTCAAAGGACACCTAAGTAAATCAGAGAAAACTTGTATGCTTACCAAAGCTGGAACAACACTCTTCACAGGAAACCCTCCCAGTGTTTCCTCATTTCCCATGACCAATAGCTGACACATTTCAATGACCGCCTGAAGCTGTTGACTCTCATCACTGGCTTGTAGTCCTTGCAGAAGCTGCTGGGCCTTAGAACCTTCAGGGGAAAAGAAGGCATTATTTATCATTAAGTACTAAAATGTATAAAATTGGATATGTACCTGGAAACAATTTACAACAAATACAGAGTTTACACCAAAGAAAAAATTATTTGTTGGCTGGGCGTGGTGGCGCACGCCTTTAATCCCAGCACTTGGGAGGCAGAGGCAGGCGGATCTTTATGAGTTCGAGGCCAGCCTGGTCTACATAGTGAGTTCCAGGGCAGCTCGAGCTCAGGGAGACCCTGTCTCAAAAAGACAAAAAACCAAAAAACCAAAAAAAAAGTTATTTGTTATAATTAAGCTTCAGTGATCTTCTTGGGGGTATAAACCTCAAGAGCATGTGTCTTTGGAAGACTTGTTTTCTTGACTATTAATTAAACATTTCCATAATTAAAAGGCTATCTGAAGATGTAATGCAAAGGTAAGTTCAGAAAAATACCAGTTTTAAAATTTTAAAGTAGACAATATCAGTAAGAACAGGCAAATCTTTTTTGTTTAAAATAATACAGAAGATTAAAAAGTAAAAGCTAAGTAACTAATGAAAAAACTCCATAACTTCTAACCTCATTTTAAAAGGATGAAATGCTTTACAAATTTGTCAACAGCATAGCCATCTGAAGAGAAAATTTGATAGGTATGCCATGCAATGGGTGTCTCATAATCACAAGGGTTGGCAAAACTAGTGAGATCACAATCAAACCTCTATACTTTTGAGGTATTCTTAAACAGAGCATTAGCCAAACTGAAAATGAGAGAAAAGCCCAAGCCATGACAGAACATCTGCTTATGTGAAGAAATACAATTATCAGATTGGAATATTTTGTGAGTACATTATTTTACATTCATAAAAATTAAAAGCTGGAGAGATGGCTAAGCAGTTAAGAGCACTGACTGCTCTTGCAGAGGACCTGGGTTCGATTCCCAGCACCCACATAGCGGCTATGAGCTGTTCTAACTCCGGTTCCAGGGGAATCGGAAGCCCTTTTTCTGACCTCTGCAACACTGAACAACATGGGTGCACTCACATACATGCAAGGCAATATACTCATACACAAAATAAAAATAATAAAATATTTTAAAAATTAAAGTTGGAACTGGGTGTGGTCATGCACGCCTGTAGTCCCAGCACTTGGGAGGCAGAGGCAGGCGGATTTCTGTGAGTTCAAGGCCTGCCTGGTCTACATAGTGAGTTCCAAGGCCAGCGGGGGCACTATCTAAAAAAAACAAAAAAAAAAAAAAAAAAAAATTATAGTTGTGATATAGCTCGATGGTAGAGCACTTGACCAGCATGGGTGAGACCTTAGGTTCAATCTTCAACACAAAAAAGCAAAATTTTCAGAAAGCAGTAGCAGCTACCACTGCTACCACTATTCAAAAATTTTTTGAATTTTTTTTTCTTTTAAATGTTATTTTCAAGCTGTGCATGGTGGCACATGCCTTTAATCCCAGAACCTGGGAGGCAGAGATAGGCGGATCTCCGTGAGTTCGAGGTCAGCTTGGTCTACAGGGAGACCCTGTCTCAAAAAGACAAAAAGAAATGTTATTTTCAAATTGTGTTGGGAGATTAAAAGAAAAATTCTTAGTATCTGCATTAACTGACTCCAGTGGCAGTGAACAACAGCAGTCAAGGTAGCACTGACATAGGATTGGGGAGAATTTGTTGGCACTGCTCTGGTTCTTGTTGAGGTAGAGCCAGGTGCATTATCAATTAAAACTCCAAGAAAGGGGAACAGGGAAGCCACAGTGCTACTAGTACCAGTTCTGCCCTCATCTTTCTAAGTGAGGACTTCAGGAACCACCCCCCAAATACACATATAGTCAGAGAGCAAATTTCAAGAAACATGTAAATCAGGAGCTTGCAAATAAGACAATTTCTCATAAGGGCAAGACAGGTATTATTTAGGTTTTTTTAGGCCATACGATCTCTACGGGAGCTATGTAACTCTGGTACTATATTTCAAAAGTAATACATGAATAAACATGGTTATGAACCAACACAACTTTATACTTCAATTTTTTTTTCAGCACTTGTCACACTCCTCACTACCCGAGTTTGATCCTTGGATTCCCTAAAGTTGCCCTGCAGTACATATAAACACTCTCCACACAGACTAACTTAAAAAATTAAACAAGGGGGCTAGAAAGATGGCTCGGCAGTTAAGAATAATGGTAGTTCTTGCAGAAGACCCAGGTTTGAACCCCAGTACCCACATGGCAGCTAACAACTATCCATAACTCCAGTTCTAGGGGATCCGAAAACCTCTTCTGTCCGGCATTGCACGACACGGATGCACTTACCTACATGCAGGAAATACATGCATACACATAAATAAAAATAAAATAGTTTAAAAAATTAAAGCAAAAAGAAGCAGAAGGCTACATCTGGTCCCTGGGGAGGAGTTTGTAAACTCCTGTCCCAGGAGGCGAATACACTGAATTGATTTCGGGCCCCTAGACATTTGTTGAGTTCTGTATCTGTAAAACAGGATAGGGACTGTATAAAATGTTTTGAATATTATCTTCAAGAAACAAAAGTCTTCAGGTTGAAAATACAACCCCCCGCCCAACCCAAAGCTCCCAAGACACCTTTCCCATTCTGAAGCTGTTTTAACTAATTCAGTCTCAGAAGAAAGGGATATGCCAACATTTTTAATCAAAACCCTGGGAGGGCCACACAGAAACACAGATGGTGTCATAAGTGAAATTAGTCACACCAAAATTTCAGATCTGGTCAAAACAATAACAAGGCCTGACAAGAAGGAAAACAACATGTTCTAAACCTTTTAGGATTAATAAAGCAAAAGAGGAAATAATCACTAGCAGAAGACACCACGACAAGCCTCTTCAGTTCTTTCATATGAAGTATTTGTGCCGGGCATGGTGGCACATGCCTATAAGCAGAGAACTACAGAGGTAGAAGTAGGAGGTGGCTCTCTGTGAGTACTAGGCCAGCCTGGTCTACATACAGAGTTCTAGTCCAGCTGTGGTTACATAGTAAGATCCTGTCACAAAAAATTAACAATAATACTAGTATAAATAATGTTTGACATACATAATAAAATAATTTACTAGACTTAGAAAAAGTTAGGAATATGAATAAGAATTAAGAGGGAAAACAAGACAACACTTCTAGAATTGAAAGTGGAGTAATCAGTACTCTGAAAAATATATACAAGCAAAGGGTTAGGATGCAGCTCAGTATGATGCACTTGACTATGATGCACAAAGTTGTACCACCTCCATCATAGTCATAAAACAACAGGAGGAAATTACAAGCAAAGATCAACAAAAAGGATAAATAATTACATAATTTCAACAACAAAGTATATAATAAAGAACTGATGAATTACCTAGACCAGAAAAACATCTGAAATTAACTCACTGATTAGGGAGTGGGACAAGAGAAACAATTAAGAAAGGATTAGTGAATTTGAAAACTAATCAGTATAAAGTTTCTAAACTGGGCAAAGAGAAAGGGTTCTGAGAGCCAGGAACTCTAAAGGTAATTGTGCATGGTACTGACAATCCCAGAAGGAAAGGAGAAAGTATACAGAGAAAATCAAATAGCAGAAATACCTAACTCACATTTAAAGGCCCAATCAAAGTGTCAAAGGAAATGTCACTTCAAACCTACTATAGCAAACTAAAAGATGGTAATAGTAAACAAGGCAGGAGCTAGGCAATGACTTAAGGGCTAAGAATGCTTGGAAGTCAAGCATGAAAACCTAAATTCATATTCCCAGCACCCAAGAAAAAAAGCTAGGTGTTAGCTACACATAAAACCTATAAACCCAACACAGTGGTGAGCACAGACAAAAGGATCACTAGGATTTGTTGACAAGTCTAGCCCAGATTCATAAGAGACCCTGTCTCAAGGGAATACCTCACATCCTCCTCTGGCCTCTACAATGCATTGGTACAAACATTCATACAGAGACAGAGAGAGGAGCTATGAAAAGGGAGAAGGGAGAAGTGAAATAAACCTTTTAGGGGAAAAAAAAAAAAAAAGGAAAAATGAAAACACACCACCTTTAAAGGATTATAGTGGGGCTGGAGAGATGGCTCAGTGATTAGAGGCTGCTCTTGTAGAGGACCTATGTTCAATTCCCAGCACCTACGAGGCAGTCTAACAACTGTTCTTAACTCCAGGAAATATGACGCCCTCAGGTACTGTACAACACGGGTGCACTTACACACATGCAGGCAATATACACATATACATAAAATAAAAATAATATTTTCAGGCTGAAGAGATGGCTCAGCAGCTAAGAGCACTAGCTGCTCTTGCAGAGGATCCAGGTTCAATTCTCAGCACTCACAAGGCAGCTAGAAATGGTGCTAAATCCAATTTTAGGGGATCCAATGCCCTCTTCTGACCTTCGCAGACACTGCATGACGCAGGTGCACTTACAAACATACAAGCAATATTTATACACATGAAACATAAAATAATAAAGTATTTGAAGGGTAATAATAAGCTGAATGGAGATAAACTATGGAGACCACTGCAGAAGACATCAGTAACACCAGTTCCAGGAGATTTAATGCCCTCTTCTAGTCTCCATGGGCAACGCATGCATGTGGTACATTACATAAATGCAGGCAAATCACTCATACACTAAATAAAAATAAACAGAAAAATCTAAAATTTAAAGCAAATCAAGGATTTTTCAACCAAAACCAGAGACAAATGATTATTAGCCATCCTTCTATATATGAAAATAAGTATCTCAGGTTGGAAGAAAATAATGCTTAAGAGAACAACTGTAAGCAAGAATTAAGAGCCACAGAAAGGATAAACAAAACATCATTCATATATAAAATAACAATTATGTGTTACCAAATTTCTAACTGATGTGTAAGTCTAAAAAAATAGTACAGAGGATGATAGGAACAAAAACTAATGCAGACTTCTTCCACTGTTTGGGAAGAGATAAAATATTAAAGTAGAATAATAAATTAAGAATATATGTAATAATGTCTAGGGTAACCACTAAAATATTTAAGACTATGTAACTGAAAAGTAAAAACAGGTGATGAGTCGCCAACTACAAGTCACCATTTATCAATTTTAAGTTTAGTAAAAACCCAAAAGTGTGGCACCACAGAACTGCTATAGATAGAAATGCAAATCTAGATAGTACAGTCCCCAAAGCGGAGATTTAAAATACCTAACAAAAATTTTTCTGTGCATTTACCACTTAATACAACACTGCTTTCATATAAAAAGGCGGGATCTATATGGCACGATTCTGAATTTAAGGGTTAGAGAGATGGTTCAACAGTTAAGAGCAAGTGCTATTTTTGCAGAGGATGTGGGTTTGGGTTCCAGCACCTGCAAGAATTCTAACTCAATGCCCTCTTTCTGGCCTCTGCAGGCACATGGAACACTTATAAAAACGTAGGAGAAAAAAAGTAAAAATAAATCTTAAAAAAAAAAAAATCCCAGTTGGGAAGATGAGGGAGGAAGGAAGAAGGCTACAAGTTCAAGACAAGTCTGGACTACATACTGAGTTTCCATGCTAGCTTAAGCTAAAAATGATTTAAGTTAAAGATTCAGAAGGCAACCTCAAAAAGATCCATCAAGTGATAGGACAATGGAAACATCAACGAAAATCACTGAAACATCAACAAGTCCATCACTTACAATATTAACGCCCTCTAAAATCTTACAACCTTAGACGTAAAACAATTTGAAAACTTAGCATAAATAATCTCCTGTATGAAATACTCTCCTAAGTAATCAAATAAAAGGCAAGCATATTTTTTTGTACATTTTTACTTAATTATTTCTCATAAATGAAAAGCAAATAATCTAAAATGCTATCATCTTAAAATCTGTCATTACCTTGACACTGACTTATTCAATAGCTTATTTGGAGAAAATCAGACATTATGAAATTTAAAAAAAAATAAATTTCTGTATGTGTGTACATGTGTATGGGCATGGCATGCCATGGCAGGCATACAGAGGTCAGAGAACAACCTGTGGGGGTTGGCTCTTTCCTTCCATTATGCGAGTTCCAGAAACTGAACTTAGATCACTATGCTTTTCGCCTATGGATCATCTCGCACTACAATGTTTGGGGGGTGAGGGTGGGGGAAGTGAGACATGGGTCTCTCTGTAGCCCTGGCTGACCTGAACTCTCACTAAGAGGTTCAGGCTAGTCCCTATCTCACAAAGATCTGCCTGCCTATGCTTCCCAGAATGCTGGATTAAAGGTATGCATCACCACACCTGATTCTACAATTCTTCATTTAAGCACACAAGAACACTTTAAGTAGTCTTTTCTCAGCAAGGACAAAGAAATGAAACTCTAATCTTAAAAGGCCACTAAAACTACCAACTTACAAGAAATACAATTAGCTAGGTGTGGTAGGTAGTACACACCCTCAGTCCCAGAACTCAAGAGGCAGAGGCAGGAGGAAAGCTGAGGCCTAGAGAGATGGCTTGACAGTTAAGAGCACTCTATATAGAGATGAGGATTTGGGTCCCAGCACCCATATAAAGCAGGTCAAAACTGCCCTTAACTCCAGATCCAAGAGATCTAACACCCTCAACTCTCCTTTGCCCCCTTCTCCCCGCACGTGCACACAGAGACACACATACCCCATGTAAAATAAATTATTTGAAAAAATAAAGCTCGATATTAGAAATGAAATAAGTATTGTTGAAGCAAAGGTATGGACATAAAGAACAGTATTATCTTCTATACCACTTCCAGTCCCTGGGTTAAATTAACTTCATGTCAGTGGTCAACCCTAAATATGGATTAGGATTTTAATGTCAAAACCAAGACTTGGAAGAACTTTTCTTCCCAATCTTCTACCACTTAATAAAATTGAGTATCTCTATAAAATTAAGTATCTCTATAAAAAAAAAAACCCACAAACTTACTAAATCCTAAATTATAAATTTCCATATTAAACAATATTTTTAATGTATGAAGATAGCAATATTTGATGTTATCAAATTTTTAGGTGTATACTTATTTTTATTTATTTTTATGTGTATGAGTGTTTTGTCAAGTGTATGGTAAGTGCGGCCATGCGTGCAATGCACAGTGGTGAGAAGACAGTGGCAGATCCCCTAGAACTGTAATTAATGATGTTGTGAGTCACTGTATGGGTACTGGGAATTGAACCAGATTTCCTGCAAAGAACAGTCAATGCTTTTACCACTGACCCAAGTATGCTTTATATTATAATTATGAATTAAAACATATGCAGGTATCTAATGGCTTTAAATATCCTTGGGTGTGGAGAGAATGGATGAGAACAGAAATGAAACAGTAGTTACTGACTTATCACTGTTGATAGGTTCTTGCAGGTTATTGTACTATTAACCCTCAACTTTGGTTTGGCCCATGTTTAATTCTTTTCATGCCTTCATCCCTCTTCATTCAACTGCAGAATGGTTTCTGATTGGCTACCCCTATACCAACGTTCAACATGATTTGGTAGATGGAACATCTCTTGGGTTTTATCTACCATCTTCCTTTCATTCTTTCCATAAGGCCCTCCTGCTGGTCTGTTTCTCAAACGTGAACTCAAGTCTCACATCGCATGTTGCACACATTCTTTCTCTTGGACCCATGTATATAGTTAGTTACCTAACTTCACTTAAATCTCTACAACATCTTCATGCCTCAGCTCTAACCCAGCCTACCTATCTCCCTCCCCAATCAGCCTATATCCTCACTCTTTATTTTCATTCATTGTACTGACATTATCTGAAACATATTATGCACTGCTAACGTCACCCCATCATGGAAGCTCCATATAGGAAATTACTTAAATATCTTCATGATCTGTACAACCCTACCATCTATGAAATGATACCAAATAAATATTCAACGTCCACCGATATTCCTAGTAATTAGAAGCCTAAGGCCCTGGAGTTTTAATGAAGTTTGGGTTACAGTTCATGAGAACTTTTGTGGCAAGGTATGTAACTGAGACCTGATGTCAGGGCAGCAGAAACAAATCAATCACAAAAATAACAGGTATTTCTTAAATTTTCTTGCAAATGAAGGTCAGAAATGGGGAAAGGAAGCTTTAGGCATACATATATATATGCACAATGCATTGTTTTAAGTAAGAGGAAAAATAAACAGGAGCCACAAAGAAGGCTCAGTAGGTAAAGGCACCTGCCACACAAGCCTGGTTTAATCCCGGAACTCATGTAAAGGAAAAAATAACTCCACAATGATGTTCTCTGTCTGACCTCCACATCCATTTCCTAGTATACGAGGCAGGCTCATGTGCCTGTGTGCATGTGTAATAGCAATAATACTAAAAATTATTATAAAACATGAAATATTTGATGACTAATTATATAACAATACAGTGTGGTCAGCTAACAAATTTCAAAAACACTTCAGAAATATTGAAATTATGCAAGACTTTACAAATAACCTACTGCTTCTATGGAGTCAATCTATGGAACTCCTAACAAAAGATGATTAAATGTCAACCAATAAAGACTTTAACTGGACTTTTTATTATACAAAAGCAATTTTAGTTATAAATGGAGACTTAAAATAGTCACCGCTGTATCAACCATATGAACAAGACCTGAGTTGTATTAATTTGACAAGGAACCTAGTGGCTAGTATTCTGCTGAGAAATCATTCCTCTGGGACTTCAGGGATAAATTTTATAATGATTAAAAAATTCTTTGAAAACATGTAACCCAGTGCCATAATTGTCATTGTAAATTCTTTATTCTCCAGATTTCAAACAAAACTATGTATTATTTACTGTAAAATCTAGATGATTCCTAATGATTCCAATTCAGTAATCAAAAATAAAAGTACACAAGGAAATCGAATAGATTCCAGATTTAAGGCCGAAAAATTCAAAATTCATGAAAACTTCCTAATACATCAATAAGTAACCAATAACTAAGTTTTCAGAGGTTTCAAGGGAGGAAAATTTAAAAGTATTCACTTACTAGCTCCGCTTCCAATTGTTCTATGGAAAAGTTGTGACATCCGAGGACCAAGAGGACCAAACAGGTGAGGAGGAAGACCCCTGGCCTCTAACAGAGCTAAAGAAAACAGAAGGGCGGGGGGGTGGGTAGTTGAGTTGATTTAATGCAACTGATCTTACCTAAAAATGTCAAGGAAATGATTTATCTCACACAACTGAGTTAGCTCAATGTTATTTTCCATTCTGAATTTTAAGAGAAACTACATTAAACCTCTA